ACTACTACTACTACTACTACTATTACTACTACTACTACTACTACTACTACTACTACTACTACAACTACAACAACTACTACTACTACTACTACTACTACTACCACTACCACTACCACTACCACTACGACTACTACTACCACTACTGCTACTACTACTACTACCACCACTGCTTCTATCACTACGACCTGCTACGACCACCAGAACTGCTGGCACCACCCACATCAACACTCATGCCAGAAGAAGCCTAACATCGATCCTAGTATTCGTAGTCTTAGTTCCCAATCTCGAAGGCCTGGAGGACGGAGCCCCGGCGGGGCACCCAGCCACGGGCCTCTCCCAGGCGCCTCCAGGCGAGAAGGCCGGCCTCCAGTGCCTCTGTAAGAAAGGGTCAATGAGGACGTTTTGGAGGTGCGAGTTTCTGGTGGGCGCGGAACCGGGGAGGGTGAAAGGAAAGTTGGATGCTGAACATGTGTGCATCACTTGCAATATGGATCGCATGCATGATGCAAACACTTGACTGGACATGTCTCATATGTGTCCCATCGACGGATGAAAGTGGCTTGTCCACTTGAACTGGCCTCACCCTCAGCCCGGAATGGCGGAGTCACCAACGGCCTGGTCGCATTTCGATGCTTGCAGGCATTTGGGGTTCGACGCAGGGTTTGGCAGCTTCGCGATTTGGAAATCTGCTAGAGTCTTCGTTCTGCGAGAACGGGCATACTACCTGTGCTTCCGGCAAATAGGACTAAATAGGACTCGAGTGACGTGCAGGCCCTGCCTGGCCCAAAGAGGAGCCAAGCAAACGCAAAAGCGCAGACCCATGGCCTCAGCTGTTTGTCATGAAGCAGCACATGGGGGCAGCACGCCAACTATCGTAAACACTGGGCAGGAGACGCGGGGGTTCAGCTTGTGCTCATCCAGAGAAAATCTCAATTCTTGTCGAAACCTTTGCACAGATGGCATCAAGCTTGTCGGTTGCATAATCGTCACAATCATGAACTGCAAGGGTGTGCTAGACGACACTATGGGTCCCAGCCTCTCTTCGAAAGAAGCCTGTGCAACACCCTCCATGCGTGTCTTGAAGGCAACCTTGTCAAGATGAAGGGCTGTCATCGGATGTCACTGGGCTCTATGGTTGCAGGCCAGTGCTCAGGGCTCGGGGCGCCACCAAAGCTGCATGAAATGCTTTCACTACCTGTTCGTGGCCGGATAGGCTTCCAGCGAGGTGCAAGAGGGAAATTCAACCGCTGTGCCATTCGGTTAAGCAGAGCTTTGACAAGCAAGGATTTATCGGCATGCTTTGATCCAGCACAACGCATTCCACACAGCAAGGTAGAAAGATCCTATCACCAAGGCATGTTCTGAAGTTCTACTGGCATGCTCAGCACAGCTCAAGGATCCGAACCTGCCTGAAGATCACGATGCTCTCGGGTCAGGAGGCGGATGCGTCCGACAGTCAGCACCACGGAGTAGTATCGCTCCTCATACGGCGGCCGTGGCGCTGTCTGACAAACACCCCTTGGCGAGGTGTGCGAGCCAGGCTATGGAGGCTCCTCTCTACCTTGACGAGAGTGGACGACCAGTCCCGGCTGATGCCTCGTAAGAGACAAGCCGAGTCGAGAAGAAACTACCACAGATTGAATCAGGCAGCACAGAGATTGTGAAGTTAAGCCGTCTGCGGAAGACCGTTCTTCAGTCTGCACAAAGCCGCAAGTGAAGCCTGAACGCTCAGGCTAAAATAGAAAGAAAGCATTCATACACGTTGTTTTGCTTCGCAGGGAAATCGCCTTCTTGGAGCCTTTGGACGGCTTCCGATGCTGCTTTCTGTCCTGAAGATGCACTTAGCATTACCTAGCGGTTGCTTCTTGCTGCAAAATGTGCCGGCCTTCTGCACTTCCTGCTTACACAATTGCGTCCTGGCGTGGAAGCTCATGATGCACCGGACTTGGCACTGGAGTGCTGGCCTTTGTTTGGAACTACTGATACTACGCTGTACGTATAGCAAACCACCCTCGGTTCGTCGCGGACCTCGGAAGAGGCGATCTGCACGAGACAACGGAGCGAGACAGCCTTGGTCAATCGCATGCGTCTTGAATTGGATCTTACCTCATGCCGTTGTCCAGTCTTGCAGTGCCATGCGAGCAGCATCCAGCGTTCGAAGTCATAGCGTTGAGCTTCTGTGAATCGCGTTTCCAACACGGTGCGACGCACCTGGTGGCTCAAGCCTCGCAGTTCCAGCTCATGCAATGCCAATGTGTGGCTGTACACGTGACGCAGCAAATCTCGGCATGGCGATGCAAGTTTGACTCGGACTGCTCGGCCCTCCAACATTGCGCTTCCAAGGACGTGACGCTGCAAGAGCCTGTGTAAGCCTGCCAAGTTTCACTCGGTCACTGCCACAATTCAACAACAATAGTTTTTGCAAGACTGCCAGAGTTGTGTGACGTGGGCCTTTCAGGAGGGTGCCAATGCGGTGACCTAGGACGTGCTGAACTGCCAACGGAAAACTCTCACAACACCTGACACGCACACCCAGATGCCACATACCCACTCTCCCTGTCTCTCTTTGTCCGAAGGGGCCAGGGCAAAGGGACCATCTCCATTCCCGCAGGTGCACGTCTCGCTTGTGTCTTGTGGTCCGGTGGTGACACGTGCACTCTCGCTCGCCCTGTTCCCGCAGGCCTTAGAGACGGGGGGCGATCCCGCCTAGGCCCTTGGCGGGAACCTATCTGGTCCACGTCAGTTGCATGAAGACTCCAGCTCGATAATCAAAGAATACTGGTTTTGTGTTTCTTTGGGTTTGTGATTTCTATAACGGGATTGGGTGTTGCACCTTCGAACCGCTCGAAGTGCCTCAAGTCCCGGACATAAGTCTTTGAGTCCCTGCTACATGCGACTTTGAAGGCGGTGGGCTCAAAACGCTGGACGCTTATTTTTGTTTATTTGGGGGGGTGGGGGGTGGGGGTGATGCAATCGATATTCCACATGCTCACAATCCTTAAACTTAAACCCACGCCTGCATTGGCGACAGCGGTTGATCACCTGTCTGTCAAAACTCCAAACTTCGTCCCCTCACGAGGCGATTGCAAGGAGCCATTTATTCAACTCGCATTCTCGTTGCCGCCCCCTCATCTGGCGGTGGCCGTTGATCGCATTTCTTAAACAGAAATCACACGCCACAACACTCCGTCTCTTCTTAAACCCGCAAGGCAGTTGGATCAGTTTTCTAGACCCGCACCCTCATTAGGCGATCCCGATGGCAGTTGATCCCCTAGTTCCGCTATGATTGATCGCATTTCTTCAAGCCGCCTCCTCATGAGGCGATGGGGTTCATCGAACGCCGCCCTATAAGGCGATGGCCCTTTTTCAACGCGCACCCTCATCAGGCCAAGGCTGGGTTGGTGGGTTGGTGGGTGGGCGGGTGTTGATCACATAAAACCCGTCCCTCGACAGTGTGAGGTTCTCAAGCGGAGCGGGGATTGGGCCTACATCTGCAAACATAACACCCGAATGACTGGCTTAGAATGGCTTTCCTGGTAGCAACACCTCCTGTCGACGGCAGTAAGTTGTTCATTGCAAGTTTTGCAATGTATCTTGTATAAGCTGCCCGGTCCAATGTGGGAGTCCACATGCTGGGTCCACTCGCTGAGTGATGCCCATGATACTCTTCTTCAGCACAGGCAAAGGGAAGCTGCGAGGTCAGCTCCCCTGCGCGATATCGCACACTGGAGAGGGTAACAGAACGGAGTGAAACAGACCAGCGACAAAGCCTCGGTCACCGGACGTCCCGTAGAAACCACTGGGCTATGACCCCCAACCCGCCTTCGACGACTAAGATCCAAGATCCCCCTACAGCCGGTCGCCGAGCTCTGCCCCTTGATTTTCAGATCATCCAGGGGCTGCTGGGTCCACTCCATGTTACTCTCACTCTCTCTCAAATCCTATGGTCTTCCGCTTGAGCTGGGGCGGCCGGCCCTTGTCGGAAGGGCATTGCTGGGAAGTCCTCGCAGTATTTTGCAGGCCTTGGTGCAAGGTAGATAAACATGACTCCTGCGGTGCGTGCGGGTTCGGATCATAACATCCATGCTCCACAATGCAACAAAACACCAATCATGGCCCAATGCCGCCTTCGCATGTGGCCTCATGGCGATCATGAAGCTCCGTGCGCCTGTCAGGCATCAAAGCTTGAGAGATTGTCACCTATGACCTATGAATCTACCGAGAGTGCCGCCTGCTTTGCGGATGCACTGCGTCGATCTCAAGCAAACCCGTGTCGGCTCTGCTCTGTCGACGGCAATGATCTTTCTGGCCTGTTCAGGTTTCGTTCGTCCGTTATACGAAAAGACCCCTCACCTCGCCCACACCATCTTGCGAGGTGCCGGTCTTCGATGGAACATGCACAAGTAGTCACTGCGAGAGAAATGCCTGGAGAGCTCGGCAGAGCACAGGCCCAGGTTGCGGTTGCCATGCTCCCGACTCGGAGCCAATCTGTCCAGCATGATGCAGTGAAGGTAAGACTTGCTAAGACATGCCACTGGAATACTTCTGGCTCTGCTTGGAAACAGCAAACATGCTTACGGGTCCCGCCTTCGTTCTGCAACGTTCTTGGTGTAGGCTTGCATAGCCTGTACAGGGGACACTGCCTACCATGTGCAGCAACATATGAACTATCGATAGCAGAACCCACTGCACTTTCGTTGCTCTCATCAACACCTCAACCAAAGTTGTCGCATCGTGCCTGGAGTCTAATCACCTTGTGCGGCAGAGGAATCAGCAGCCGAACAGCGTGCTTGACTCTGTTAATCAGCAACTGCCTTTAAAAGCGTGCTTGACTCTGTTTGTTGCCAAGATGCGCCGGCGCCACCGGCGCGACCGGTGGTGGTGGCGGGCGCGGCCCTGGCGGTGGCGGTAGCGAGCACCTGAACCCCGTGGTAACGCCGTGTAACGCCTCAAAAACCTTCGGACCCCCTTTTGGAGACCGATCACCGTGCTCAAGAGCCTTTTGGGATGAACCCTCTGAAGGCCATTCCTGGATGCTCCATGATCAAGCTGGATGTGAGACACACACTGAGCAGTCCACTCTGCCAAAATACTGTCGCCTTGGCTCTCACACATTCCCAACTCTCTTGTGATTCTTGTGCACTCTTGTGGCCACACATCTGCCAAGACACACAAGATGGTTCCGGCAAAGTCGAGAACGGAAGACATCATGATGGTCCTGTGCAGCTGGATATCTGCAACTATGCACTCCACCCTGGGCACACCACGGAATTCAGGCCGCAACATGATTTTCTGAAGGACAGAGACGAGGCCAATGTGGCCGGCTGCGGCAGTTTCTCTGAGCCACGGCGCAGTACACGGCTGAGTCTAACAACGTTTGCACTGATTGGAGGCAGGCGACGTTCTGGTGACGCATTCCGGTACTCGATTTGGGCTCAGGTAAAACTCAGTGGTGGTACGTGGGACACCAAACATGTACTTCCGTTTAAGCCAGAAACGGGAAAGTGCCCTTCCAGCTGTCTCTGAGCACATTTTTCAATCTCACATGAGCAACGTGAGGCGAAGTATGCTATTCTGACTTAGCCAGAAGTGCAAAAAGCTGTTTCATCTCTTCACTCTTTGAGTGTCGGAGAGCTCGGACAAAGCAATGCCGCTTGCAAACAGTGATTGTTACGTCTGGGACTCAGGAACCAGATCCTGCAAAGGAGGGTCTGTGTAGCTACTGCACGCAATTGTACGCATGAAGATTCTAGCCTCCTGACATTGGCAAACTCACACCTTAATTCACTGGTCGGAGCAGAAGCTGCGTGCCGGTCAAATGAGCTCCATCATCCTGCAGTTCTGCACAGCCGTCGCCCGTCCATGCGCAGCGACGTCAAGAGTCTTGCGCCCACGGCTCAGAATCTTCCAGGTTTCCAGACTGGCCCATGGCATGGGAGAGCAGGGCCACGCTGGCTTGTAGCACCAGCTCTCCCAACGCATCCCCTCGATCTAGACTCTGCGGGGAGGTTGGACAAGGCTCCTCCATCGGCATGGCTTCTTCGACATCTGCCGCACCCTCGGGTTTCACCGCAGGATTCTGCTCATGGCCTGGCTCTCCGATGTCGCTCCGTGGGTCTCGCTGGCTAGCCGACGGCTCGGAAGGTTGCACTTCAACTTCTTGGGTGCCAGGCGGGTGCAACAAGCGAGGGAACCACTCCGGCAACTTTCTCGCGCTCGAAGGCTGGGGCGGCAGAGGAAGGGTGACGAATGTGGGACTCTCTGCGCGCAGAGCCACAGGTCCTGCTGCAACACGTGGTCCCCCTTGCACCATCAGCTGGATGCACTCGCCCCCCTCCAAATTATAAAATTCGAGTGTGTGCTGATTCTGGAGTCTTCTGCCTGAGTGGAACAGTATTTGCTGCTCCGGGCTCACCTGGAAGAAGTCTTTGAGTTTTTCTTTCAGTTGGCCAATGGTACGAGCCTTCTGCAGCCAAAGACGCTGTTTGCGTTGCGGTGGCCATGTCTGCAGAATCGTCAAGAAAAGACTTTCGCCTTGACAACGATGCTTCTTAGCACTGGCATCCAACTGCGCTCTGGGTGCTCGGCAGCCAGACACCGCAACGGACGGATTCGGCGCACTAACGGCCCCGTTTGTGCAGGTGACTTGGAGGATGGAGTTCTCCCGAATTCCACAATCGGACAGCCGTCGTTCGTTTGCCAAGGTATGGCCACTGAGGGTCAGGCGTTGACCATCCAGTTTCAAGCCAGTGAGCTCAGCAATTTTTGTCTTTGCATGGATGACAAGATCGCATGGCTTTAACTGGATGACAAAAGGCTCCGCAATACCAGATCGAGTCGCATCAATTAGAATATCCAGAAGGCGTGCGTGACCGACGCCGGTAGCGATCGTCACATGAATGCACTGCCGTGCTTCCACGCCGCCATCCAACAGGGTCTGGCGATTTCCGAGGATTCGGCCCTGGAGCCACAAAACACAAGCTCATGCAATCTTATGCAATCTTTATGCAGATTTATGCGGCTTTCTGACGTGTTAGGTCGTTCGGAAGCCTTGTAGGAAAGGGTCATCTCCTCTGCGGGGATTCCAAAGATGCCTTCGGCCACCTGCTTCACTGCGGCGACTCGCAAAGCCAGAACCAAGCGCAGCGGCACCCGCTCACCGCTGATGCCGTTGCCTCAAAGCAGGACGGGACGGGCACATCACGGCGCTGCGATGCTTCAAGTTCTACACCTCTTTCTTCCGAGGGGCACATGAAAAGAAGACTCGGTTGATCTGTAACTTGCAGCACTGACAGCTTGGCATCTTCTTCCGCCCAGTCTAGGAGTCGCGTGGGCTCGGTCTGGATGGTGCCGCATGAGCGAAACTTCTTCCGGGCCTTTCCGAAGACAATTCGAAGACAACGCGACACTCTGCTGCAATGCTCTTTTTAAACCAAGCGGCTGCATGGGATGTAGGCATGATGGAGCGCCATGCAGGTTGTGGATTATCGATGCAACATAAGGCCGGAGAAATCGCATGAGAACGTGTTCGTGCTGTTGAGTGCACCACACCAGCAAAATCTCATAAATTGATCTGTCACTCTAGATACTCTAGGCCATCTAGGCCTCTACTCTAGGCTTCATGGCCATGTCTGCTTGATGGCTTTAGGACACAGCTGAGCGGCGATGTCAATGAGTTCTGTGCGCATTATGTCACCATGTCATCCCGCATCGCTTGCGGGGCTAAACCGGACAACTGCGACATCCAAACATCTACAGTCGCGGCTGTACGGCAGCATAGTCTGCTGCTCAGCTACGCCCGCTAGGAATGTGGCGAGGGCGAGGCGATGCCAAATCCCAAGGCAAAATCACTCCTGTAAATTCTACGTTCTACAGGTATCTGCATTCTTCGAGCTTGCCTTATAAGGCTCCCCTGAAGCACAGCTTCACTACAGCTCCTTTTTTGAGTCGTCTCCGTGGCGAAGTCGTCCATCGCACTGCAGGTGCAGCAGAACTCTCTTTCCGGCCCCTACCGACTTAAGTCGGTCATCCGAGAAGGTCCAACGGTTAGCCTTTCTGCGAAGTTGTTGGCTGCCAACATTCCCCTGTGGGTCAGATGTTTCGGCAGGGTGGCGGAAAGGAGCCCTTCTGTTCCGCCCTGGAGATACCCCGGAACTCTGAGTGCACTGCAGGTTGGATGGTCGATCAAGAGCTTACCCTAGCTTCCTGGAACCTGCTGTGGACCCAGAGATGCCAGAGAACCCAGGGTGCCGTGCCGTCCCTTCTAAGAGGGATCGGGATGCAGGCCCCGACGATCGTCGGCCTCACAATGCACTCAGAGCAGAGCAGCCTTTCTTGGAATCCCTCTATGCCACAGGCCAGGCCTGCTCGGCAACCTCTCGATCATGTCCAGCATCTTGCCGCCCAAGGCAGGCGCCCCTGCCTCTACTGGTACCACTCGTTGTTTCATGCGACATAATCACGCAAGACACTCATGGCCGGTCGTGCAGGTCAGCAGTGACAGCGGATGCAGCTTGAGAGTGCGGCATCTCTTTCGAGCTGGCAGGATGTTGCCGAACGCGCAGTCGGAAACCAAGTCACAGATGATGCCCTCGTTCTGTATCAGACGGGCTCTTTAGGAAACGGTGATGTTGGGATAATGCGGGCGGAACAGGTCACAACACCAAACCGAACGGGGGCAGCGGAACACTTGTTGCAGTGTTCGCCATGACTGAGTTTATTAACATCACAGACAAGATGGATAATGCGCAGCTGCTCCGACAACGACTGAATTGGCCGCATGCATTCTTGTCGAAATGTCTGAGAGGACCCGTCGAGTCTCTGCGTTACACATCGCTACGTACCAAACGCGCTCGATGTAACATCTGCATGATTTTGCAATGGTGCTCAACTGTCGAACATTCGAGACTTTCGCATCCAATTAATCCATAACATGATGCCAGTCTCTACTAGGACCAGGAGATTTAAGCATGCCAGCAAGTTGCCGAGACTGCTTGTAGTGCAGGCGTGCTCGTCAATCGAGCTTTCGTCCTCCATGTCCTAGGCCACTCATCACAACTTCACAGTCTCGGTCAAGCTGCATGGCATTCGGAAATCCCCCGCCGGTGGACCTCGAAAGCGCTTTCGAGACAAGTCCAGGATCAAGTGGAAGTCCTTGATTTGTTCACGAAGAAGTCTGGACAGCTCTGTGGCTGTATGCTTCGACTGCTCACTACAATCCCTCGGAAGTCCTCCAAGGTCCTGCGTGCGCAACCTTGGATGCATGCCTTGTAAGAAGATGCAATTAACTGCTCCAATTCCTTTCTCCTTGCAGTCAGGCTGCCTTCACCTTTGTACAGGCAGCTGCTCTTCATACACTGCCGTGATGACGATCATGTCTTCTGGCGCACCGAGAAGTGCAGCAAGCTCTGCCTTCATCTCTTCCTGCATCAAGCTGATGAGGACGACTGATATGCGCTCAAGGCCATGCTTTATGTTTGATGGTGTCTGGAGACCAAGCACGCAGGCGCCTTGCATGCGAGTTCGGCAGCAACACCAGCACATCTTTCCTGGTAGTTGATGTCAACCTGCGGAGGGACAAAGGGACGTTACTTGCACTCCTGAATCTGCTTGGAACAGCAAGGTGAGCATGAGGCCTTGATCTCGAAGGCAAGGGGTGTGGCAACTTTGCCCTCTGGCACTGTGAAGTCGAAAATCTGCTCCTGGGCCATGGCGCGACAGTGTCTCACAATCTCCGTGAAGGGAGGAGCTTCCCATGCCGAGCGTTGCACCCACACCACAGGTGTGAAGGTGTTTGCCTCAGACACCGCGGGTGAATCTTTGCTCGACCTGCCACTTCCGAGCAGCGCCAAGTGCCCAGCAGACATCAGGTTCACTCCGGTTGCCATGGTCAGCACATCGTACCTCCACTCCCGGCTAGTCGAGTGTTAGGAAGCCGGCCATGCTGCACAATGTTGCGAAGAGGAGTGGAGGCACCTTTGGTAGCTCTGCAAATCGCAGGCTGCATTGAGTACCTTGCCCGTCTTCAGCCTCAGACAAATCATTCGACATGGTCCCATCGCCAGGCTAGTGGAAGCGACACATAGCGACAGCAGAAGGGTGGCTCTCTTCATGAGACTTCAAGGGTGTGCCTGCTTGTGTTGAAGACGGTGGGAATGTTGGGCTGGCCGACCCACAACCAGCAGCAGCACTGGTCTGAGCCAACCTGCACAACTCGCTATCATGATCTGCAACGCCGCTACCAGTAGCTTCCATTCAAGCTCCGAGTGCGATTCGGGCAGTAAAGGCACTGTTGGCAGAGCCCTGGTAGTGGGCCTTCCGGCAGTCGAAGTCGGTCATGCCTGAGCTCGAATCTGGGTCAAATTTGGGGTTCCTCGCTCGCTCAAACGTGCATCCGGCCTCCGGACCCAGGATCTGTGGCTGCACCATTGCAGGTGAACGCTGTTGGTCTGAGCATGCGCCAAGTAGGCAGAAGCACACATCAGCAATGCTCTTGCGAAGGCTAAGCTCCCAGCAACAGATCCAAGGCTTCTCCGGTCTTCAAGACAATTTGGAGGTAGATGGCCTACCAAGCCGCGCAGTTATCAGCAACCGCAGATGGTAAAGGGGTCCACCAAAAGTCAAGAACCTACGTCTTCCCAGCGGTCGCATAAGATCAGCGGAGGCTCAGGCATTCCAAATGCACGATCATGGTAGCAGCCACCACAACCACAGCCACAACCACACCCACACCCACGCCCACACCCACCACCACCACCACCCACCACCCACCACCCACCACCACCACCACCACCACCACCACCACCAACAACAACAACAACAACAACAGCAGCACAACGACAACGACACCCAAAACTCCAACACCACACCAACACCAACACCGCCAACAGCAACAGCAACAGCAGCAGCAGCAGCAGCAGCAGCAGCAGCAGCAGCAACATTAACAACATTAACACCACCACCACCACCGCCGCCGCCGCCCCCGCCCCCGCCCCCACCTTCACCACCGGCACCAGCAGCAGCAGCAGCAGCACCACCACCACCAACAACAACAACCACCACAACCACCACCACAACCACCACCACAACCATCACCACAACCACCAACGCAACCACACCGCCACCACCACCGCCACCAACACCAACGCCAACGTCACCAACTCCAACACCAACATCGGCAGCAACAACCTAGCAACAGCAACAACTTCTTCTTCTTCTTCAACTTCAAGACAATACAAAAACCCATCAGCATCGACCAAACGCACCACCAGAGTAAACATCGCGTCAGGAACACCAAGGATCATACTACGCGCCGCGTGATCATCACTCTTCAGATTGGCAGTAGTCCTAGAAGTTGCAGCAGTAAGAGGGCCAAGCATTGCATCAGGAACACAAAGGATCACTCCGACACCCCATGCCTTACTCACTTTTCATCACCATCACTACCATCAGGTTTTCGGCAGTCCTAGCAGCAATAGGGGTGCACTTTGCAATATCGCGAATAAAGATAGTGGGTTAAAAACTCTTCTTGAAACAAAAGCTCCGGCATGCATGCGAGTAAGGCTAAACCCGCATCAGTACGGAACAGTGCACGGAACCCAACACACCTTCCCGTCTACTGGGCACCTCAACCTTCATGTTGTTGGCGTCATGAACGATGCAGTTCACCATGGCCTCGCCCAGTCGGCCAAAACATTTCTTCGCGAGTTGCCGGGGTACAGTACCCCTGGCAGAACTAAAAGCTCAGCTTCTGAGATCTGAAAATCTCCTCAGCTATTCGTACGGCATCTCTTCAGCCCGTCTTGTGCTGCCTCCGTACTCTTGATGCTGGCGAGGCCGCACTGAGCTGGCTCCTCGCACGGCGGCTTTCGTCCCAAAGAACGTCGCATGAAGAGCAAGCGGTATGCTGCAGATTCTTGCTGTGAGAAAGATTTTCGGCTTTTCGCATCCTCGCACCCTGCTGGCAGCAGCAGCCACAATCGTGGAAGCTGGATCTGGAAAACGATGCACGGATTGTGGTTCTACTGCATGAAGGGATTCGGAAAACACCTACACGCAGGACCGGTGTTGTCAGCCGGCTTGCAGGCCTTTCAGCTTCTGCATCATTTTCGTCAGATGCCGGGATCGAAGCTGAGACGGGTCGCCGGCAGGACCATATCTCCCGGTAACTGGGCTATCCTGCAGCTGTTGCTCCAAGACATTGAGCCAATTTAGCAGCTCGGCGATTGATGGACCACCTTGAACAAGCATCCAACGGTCCATCTCGTCCATGGCATTCACGAAATGTGCAGTTTGACAAACCCACAAGAAGTTGTCAAACCGAGCAAGGCCCTCCCAAGCTTCACAGGCCAAAAGCTTGGACTGGATCGGGTCTTGTTCTTCAAGAGCTCCCAAGACGTGCATCCAAAGAATCACCGCTGAATTTCCTGGTCAGGGAACCCTTTGACAAGACTGCGGGAACGGGAGAGGAACGGGTTGCCTATAAGAAAGGGTGCCTGTCACCTCGCGTGAGGGATCGTCAGGCTTAGAGTCACCTAGAAGCATTTCTTTCAGAAGAGCCGAAGGGCCTGGCCTGCTAGCCGAGGCACTTGGCTTGCGAGAAAAGCCCTCTTGACCGCGGCAAAGAGATCGCCTCCGTCAAGACTGACCCCGGTCATCAACCGGGCTACCGCTGTTTGGGTTCGCCACTGACCGAACTGGGTCGACTTATCGACGCTGACTAGCCACTCCCGCATGCATAGGAGAGCTTGGTCGTCACAGCGTCCAAAAAGTTCTCGAAAATGCTCTCTGGCTGCACGATCTGGAACTAGCTCCTCGACGGCAGCCTGACATCTCAGCTTTACGTGGCTTTCGCACTCTGGCGACAGCCGCTGAGAGGCCGTCCGCAGTTTTTGAATGCAGGAAACAGGCAAGTATTCGAGGAAGATCTCAAGGTGTGCGGGCGGGAATGCATCTGCCATGGGTGCTGGCCAGGGAAAGCTGCAAACGCTTTGCGACCTTGCGTTCAGAATTTGCAAAGTGTCTGCTGCTTCATGGATAGTCTGCACAGGCTTGCTCTCTGATTACCTGTTGAATCAATCCGACTGTCTGAGGCTGACTGCTTTTCCGGCACACATTTGGTCAACCCCGACGGATTTTTTGACCTCTTTACTAGTTACTAGTTGCAGTTACAAACAGTGCAAGCTCCTTCTATGGAATGAAATGCGATATGATAGGATACTTGCGGGCCAGGCCTATGAGCTTTTTGGATCGTTCATAGCCCATGCACGCAAAGAACCACGCCACCTGTCCTCTACACCCAGCTGTAACGTCGTGCTCGTGGCCTTCAGAACGTCGAACTTGCTCTGGGCCTGGGACCACGTCACCCATGACTTGCTTGGTTACTCTCATAATCTCTCAAAGTTCCTGTGCCTTGATGACGAAATCTGCTGCCGGAAGAAGTTGTAACGGGACAGGTTCTGACTTTATGCCCTGGCCGAGGTGTCGTCATGTCAGGCAGCAGGCTTGTTGACAACAAGACTGCCGGAAGCTCCCCGTTCTGCGCGCTGATGTCAAGGCCATCTGGGAGCGTTGGCGTGATGGTAAAAGTCACCTGGGGATATGTGTGTGTGTATATATATATATATACATATATATATATATATATATAGGGCTTGGCTCTGGAATGGAGCAGCGCCTCGTCGAAGTAGTAGGCCGGGAAGCCCGACTCCGACCACAGCACGGCAAGTGTCGGGAACGACACATTGCGGGCGAGTACCACCTGTGACCGGGGAATCTTGGACAACTCGGAAAGGACTCCAACATTCTAGCCTGTGTCAAAGGACTTCCCAGAGTGACGTACTGAAAGTTGGGTGCAGCGAGGACCCCCAGGCTGATCGCAATGCCATTGCCATCCTTCAAGTGAGTCATACACTATCTGACTATCTGATCAAGACGAGAAACCTGCGAGGCAGGCGCCTCTGGGAAGACAACGAGAGACTTCGAGTGCTTGCACCAGACGAAGACCTGTCAGCGACTGCTATAGATTAGCTACACTGCAGCTACAGCAGAAAACATCAAGAACACCAGCCAGAACGAGGAGCGCAGGGCACCTGTGGTGCAACTCCCAAAGGCATGCGCTGAATGCTTGCCGCATTCTGCAGGCTAGTCTCAATTCGGACCTCACTCAAAGCGAAGCTTGATTGGCTTTGGACCATAGACTGATGCCGGCATGTCTTCAGCACTCAAACCACCCGACACCTTTGGGATTTAGGGCTGCCACCGTGATGTTCTCACCTGTTGTCAGCACCTGGGCACAAGTGCATCGCACGCAAAGCCCGCCAAAGAGCCCCGTACTGCCCTACACACAACACAAATCCATGCCAAGGGCACCGGTACGTTCACAGCTCTGCCGAGAACCTGGGATTCCTCGAACACGGGCACGAAATCCTTCGAGCATCTGTTGGGCAACATGTACTCGTGCGGACTCATACGTGTTCATCACGCGACACAGTTCCACCTGCTTTGCACTGGTAGCTGGAGGGCAGTGGGATCATGATAAGGTGCTGTGTATGTGCATTGCAGAAATTTCCGGTCCGGCGGCATGCTGGTCGCATAGTCACCCACTAGTTCTTCGGCCTCCGATATACACTCAGCTTCAGAGCGTGAATGGCTGTACAAGATCTTCCCCGAGCCACTGACAAGCAAGGGGCGATCGAAGGTGCGAGTCGTAACAATGCAGCTGACTGTACCCATCAGTGACGCCTTGCAGGTCGAAGGGCTTGCTTTCATGCCTAGCAGGCCTAGCATCCTGCAACCGACGGTGAATCAGCTGGTTTCGGTTTCCCCGGTTTATGCCTGGACCATGGCATTGATCTCCTTCGAAGTGGCAGCTTCGTCTCCCAGTGGTCGTTCTTCCTGCAGTGAAATTTGAGCTCGACATTCTCCATGGGTCTGAGCTTCATGCAAAGCACAAGATCTCGATGGCGTGGCGGCGTGACATGAAAGCTGTGAACGAGGAGCTCTCCTTGTCCAATGACAAGATGATGTCCATGATGCTCAAGCTGCGACCGACTTTGTTAAACACCTCACAACTCTACGAGATGTCCACGTGTTCGCTAAAAAAAAGCACTCAGGTCAGGGCCCGAGTCGTGTCTGCGGAGGAGCCCACATAGCAAAGGACATACTTCGCCCCGATGCGCAACCTCAAGCGCACAAGGATTCTCTGCATTCTCGGCAGTCCATGTGCGTAATTGTGCCAAGGGGCGACTGTGTCTCATCCTCCGCGATCGACACCTGCAGCGAAGCATGATCAACCTTTTCTGTTTCATGTCAGGAGGCCTTGAAAGGTTTTTATGCACGTACCGGCTGAGACTGAAGCAAAGTGTGTGGCGCCGTTCACCGGGCTCGGCAGAACGGATACTGCCTTCAATGCGACCTCAAAGGCCGGGTTCGACATTCTCTGGCAGGCTTCTTGCGGAAGACGGACAAAGGCGACAAAGGAATCTTTGTCTGATAGGTGTGGTGTAGAGGCGACTTGAGAGACAACGGAAGGCCTGAACTACCCAGCACCCGGCATCCCGGCAGCGACCAGCCAAACCGCAGCACGATGCACTGGAAACCCGACAAGCATCCCCCTGCCATAACCCCATGGCAAGCCCGTCCTCCATTCATCAGATTTTACTTACCACCAGCCCACCACTCTGCAGCGTAGCCGAAGCTCGTTTGATGGAGTTGTTGGGTGCCCCAAAGCTTCGGCTTGGCCCTGTCTTGATCTTGCTTCCAACCCCTCTGCAGCTGAGAGGCATTGAGAGGCCCTCCAATTCGGGGTGTCGGAAACCCTTTCGTTTGTTTTAGAAGTCGCTTGTCTTTCATGCCAGAGTTGTTCCATACGTATCCCAACGACTGGTCGCATTTTATCTCTGGAGCTAAGTGTGAACATTAAAGCCGCCAACACACATGCAGCAGGAAACAGGGACGTCTTGCCACATGCTGAACGTGCTGAAGCCGCCGCTGCCGCAGCTCGTTGAATGTAGTTCGCGGCAGTCTGCGAGATCAGTCAGATCGATGACTATCAACAGTTGGGCCGAGGGATGCAAATGCCGTGTCTAGTCACTAGTCACGAGTCCAATCCCGCCCCATCTACCTCTGCGACCATGGTTTCGATGCCGATAGGGGGCAAGCAATGGCCGCCATTGGCCTGGTACACCTCGCACGTTCCGGTTCCCATCCGGAGAAGCTGTTCTAAAAGGCCGGGGGTGCTGCCGCTTCCTCCAGCATGAAGGCCTTCCAACAAAAACTGCTCCAGAAAACCATCATCACAGCTGAACCCCGCCCTGCGACACTAAAAATTTCCGTAGGATTCGGCTCGGATGCTCTGACTCTGGCCTGTGCAAGCTCCCCAACCGCCACGTCGTACAAAATCAGGTTCGAGGCCAGGCCCCGGCTCCTTTGGAACGCGAAGCGAGAGCCGCAGCCATTTGAACACACCCAAACACAGAGACAAACACGCGTTGATACATTCAAAACCACGTCTCATGCAAGATTACAGCAACCTGTAAGAGAGGAGGGGTCTTCAAGCTGTTTTCTGCCAAGTCTCATATGCTCAATGAAAGCATCATCGACGATCAAGGCCAGGCTCGGCAGAACATCCTGTGTCTTGCAGCGTAGCAAGGGGCTGTCACATCACAGATCCATTCTTCATTCCGGTGCCTGTGAGAACTGCATGAATCCTCCTGCCGCAGCCTTTGCTCCATGCTCCGTGGGGGCACTGTGAAACATGTCTGGGTTCTGAGACAGCTGGCGTTCACGGCGACTGGCAGTGACGTCGGAAGCTCGAAGAAGCAGAACAGCCGCTTGAACCTTCCCGCCATCGTGCTAGCTGGAAGTCCGGCGCTAGCACATCTTTGTACATCTGCTCAGCCGCTGGCGGGTTTGCACTCAAGTAAGCCCGAATGGGCTGCTCAATGCCGGACATGTTCAGCACAACGGGTACCGCCTGCACTAAATGAAATTCACTCAGAACCGCAGGCTGCGCAAGAACGAGCCTCTGAGTAGGCTGACGCATCACACTCCACGGTGTCGTTCACCATCTTGATACGAGACTGCGAGCTGTCGGCGACGTTTTCCATGAACACCTCGAAGGTGTGCCCAGTCGACATAACCAAGCCGGAACAAAAATCATTGCTTCGCACTTCGCAGTGCTCCAGGCACCAGGCCAGGAACGAGGATCCGGGCCACAGAAAGCTTGGCAAGGTATGAGCCAACGGCGCCTGCCATGGACTGTAGATGACTGGAGCGCTTTCTCCGACTTTGAAGACTTTTCGCGACGTCTTTTGAGCTAAAAAAGGGACTCTCTGCCTGCCCGGGAAGAGTGAACTGCTGGCCGTTGGGATCACTGGGTGTCACCATCTTCGTCTCCTGCAAACACGCGGTAGGACCAACACAGCGAACTCCGTTACACACTGATTCGAGCAAGACCTCGGTGGCCGAATGCCAACACCAGGCAGGCACGTGATCGGTCTGTAACAAAGTTGCCTCCGGGTGCTGAGCGCTGCGGCAGCGGAATGTTGTCACTGCAGACTGCCGGGTGCCCGGCCAGCACAAGCGAGACTGTGACGTTTGGTGGCACGGCAGCAGGAATCGTGACAATGGCCAATGCCAATGTGTCTTCCTCCAAAGGCAATGCCGGTAGACTCGGGGCTCGAGTAATTAGTGAATAATCTGAATGCCGATAACATGTCAACTGGAGACTTTCGTCGGCAAACTGTCCGGGCTCTGCAACCAGTCGAGCAGGGCGGATCTCTGCGCGAAGGCATACAGCCTGCAGAAGATGAGTAGAGAATGCCGTTGCTCTGCACAAAAAACCTGAACTCAGGCTCCGACTGTGCTGCAGCTGCTCCCGTGAAGCCCTCCACTGCGGCTGCGGCTGCTGCCAGGATCTCTTGCGCCTTCGTGGAAGTTACCTGCGCCAGCACAGCTTGCTTGCCCATCCCACCGCAAGCGGCGAGACGCAGAGAGACGGACACAAACGAAGAGAGGGAGAGAGAGAGACATAGAGACAGCGAGCGAGACGGAGCTGAGACACAAACAAACACACACACACACACACAGACACACACGCGCGCACGCACACACACACACACACACACACATGGAGTCTTCTCAGCTTGTGTTTCACCTCGTGTGGGTTTAATTGGCTCAGATGTGCATATGATACAACCGCGCGATGACAAGCACCTTGTAGATCGTGTCTGCCGTACACATATACGAGCTCTCTCTCAGTAGCAAGCATGTTGACTTAGCTAGTTTATCCTTCAGCTCGTTTGGACATCGCGGGTGTACTGTTACTGGCAAAGCTGTTCTGTGATTAGAACATTGATATCTTAAGCATATATGTAATGAGACGCTGCCAAATGCATACTATTGCTTGCTGACTGCTTTGCGTCTGCAGCGATGTCTGCACATGCAGAGTGCATATGCGCACAAACATTCATGATATGTGTGTGTGTGTACACGTGTATATATATATATACATCTACAGTCACATATATACATACACTCAAACATGCGCTATGTCTGCTCTTCGGCTGAAACCGATCGGATCGGCAAGATAAAAGGCGATAATTTGTTCACTGCCGAACGCGGAAGTCTTGGCGCATCTGTCAGATTTAGTCATGCGATTCGGATCATTTCCCCCGCCTGCGGATCCTTCACGACACAAGTAAGAATGCCGGCAAGTCGTGCCGTCACCTAAGTGTTCTGCCACATGCTTGGACCTGGTTGTTTGAGAAACGCTGAAGCAGGCTTTAACAAATGCTCATCCGATTTCCTCAAGGGCACTGTAATGCACAGCTGCGTTCGTTTTACCGGGCCGGTGGCTGGACTGCATTAGTATTAACAGTGCAGCTTAAGGGCATCCAGTCGCAATGTTGTCCGCGTCGATGCCAGGGCACTTTGCTCCATGCTCTCGATGACCTAAACGTCACCATCGAACGTCTTGGGCCATCTTTCGGCCAACACGAAACAGCTCCAGCTACACACGTTGTGCCAGAGTCTCGGACCTCACTGACAACGAAGCTGCCCACCTTGCAGCAAGGATTCTAGCCTAGCAAAACCCCTAGACGTGCGAACCCAGCAAACTGGCGAGGAGAGCCTGCAACCAACTCTCTTGGTCACACTCTAGAGCTTGCTGGGTGCTTGGCAGACTGCAGTGGAGCTTGCTGTTCTGCGTCGGCTATGTCGTCGAGAATGCAGGCATAATACCTTCGCAGACAGCACGTCTTTTCTCGGCGCCCTCCATACTTACCCACGTCGACGGTCCCCATGGGCACGTTCCCGCAGGCTCGTCGAGCAGGAAAGAGTCGCTAAGGCCCAGCGGAGACAGGCCCACAACCTCCGGAGAAGCATCATGATTGCATTGACGATTGCGGCTACCTGGCAAGCATGCGGAGGCTTCAAGGCCGTGGCCCTTCCTCTTGCCAACGCATCTGACAGCTCCGGACCTGGCGATCGCTGCACTTGTCAGCTGCCAGCTTGAATTCGAAATGTCCGAGGAGTGGACACACCTGCCCTGCATCCAGAATTCCACCTGTGACTTCAGCGTACAGTAGCCATGTCGGCACAGCCAGGACTCTGCGCCTAAGCTTTGGCTCTCTTCGACGGAAATCCAGCTCATGTTCCCCGAGGTGGACGTCCTGGTCGCCGCCCCAGCCCCAGGCTCGGCTCAGCGCAAAAACTACACCAAACAGGCCAGGCCAGCTGCTTTTGCACCTGAATCCTGGCGGGGCTCCGACCAAATTTTGAAAAGCGTGAAATCCTTCCTTGCAGCCAGCCTGTTCCTTGCACCACGATAAAGAGTTGTTGTCTGCAGCACCTAGCAGCTTTTTCAGAAGGGGGGCGTTTGAGACCTACTCTCTCTCCAAGAATGCCAGACTGAGGCTCGTGACAGGAACGATTCCGATGTCAAGGGTTTCCCTCATCGGGATTGGATATTCCTTCACGAGCAGTTGCTCATCGCATCAGTAATGGCCACATTGGCCACACAACACTCTCACGAACACAAACACCACCACGCACGCCTGGGGACTGCCGAAATAGCAAAGCAGGAGCTTGCAACCTGGATCATCCATGCCTTGGTATAACAAGTAAATTAGTTGCGGACAGTACGAAAGTGCTTAGGCAGCAGAAGCTTGGACAGAAGCACATTGTTGTGTCCAACTGTGCGAGCGATGCTGTCTCCAACATAAGGTTGCCAAAGTTGTCCTTCTGAGCAGCACCAACGAACTCAGAAGATCACGGCAATGCCAACAGTTTCGTACTCTACCAGAAGAGCAGGTTGCGAGTCCTTCGACTCTTGAATGTTCAGCATGCCTGGGGGGTCAAGGCTCTCAAGCTAACATGCCGTCTTCAATCCGCCCTACACAGCAATCTTAGCATTTCGCGGTCATCCATATGGTACGCCATGAAACTGCAAGTCTCCGTGCTCATGGCCGTCACAACCTTGGTCTTCTCAATTTACCTGCTGTTCAGACACTGCAGCGTCACAGCAATGAGCCGCAGACTCTGATGTCCTCAACTGCCAATCTTCGGCCTTCATAGCGTGGCGCATCCAACGAACAAATCTAACACATCATCCCAATACGACATCCTCTCAATACTGTGTAGTTGAAGTCTCACTTCCGCACAGCCTGCCAGGCCCTGCGACGTAGCAACATCAAAGATCTGAATCCTCAGCTGCACCATGATCATCGCCATGTTCAAGCAGTTCCCCTGCTCTCGTATCCTGTCTCTGCCTTGCATGAAATTCTGACAAGCAACCTGTGCAGGCTCGAGTGCCAGCCCTTGCTGGGCAAGAAATCCGCTCTGGGGGTTTTCATGCTCAGCGGAACGGCCACCTTCGCACACCGTCGTTGAGTCAAGCAAAAACCAAAAACACCAGGACAAGGCCGCCAGGCCTGTACTCCTTCAAGGTCCGGTGGGAAGACGTAGGCAGGAGAGTCGGAAAGGAAGCACCACACCCTCAAGATCTGACCGGCCTTCCGGGAACGGGCTGGGCTGGGGCTGGGCTGGGGCGAGGGGGCACTGCAAGAGGCAAAGAGCACACAGGCTTTTTGGAGCCTCCACAAACTGGGTCAGGTGTATGGTCAAAGCATTCTTTCCAGAGCCCGCCTGCATAGAAAGAGAAGCGTCTTCAGCCCGTCCGGTCCCCGGTCCCTCACCATGACTCCTACAAGCATCGTCACCTCGCCTGTCCAGGTGATGCTCCCCAGCCAACGTCGCTGGTGCCCGGTCCGAAGGTAAAGAAGCTGGAGTCAGGATACAGGCCCCACCTGAATGGCGAAGGCGAAGGCGCTGAACCCCCAACCCTTCGTTGATGGGATCAGTTGCAAACAATAACAAGCTCCAGACTCCGTTGCAGGCCCGTCGTTGACGACACAACGTATCAAGCCACCTTCGAAGGAGCAAGGCATGTGGAATGCCAGCCTGGGCCTAAACACGCTCAAGAAAAGCAGAACGTGCCTCCGTAGGAAGAGTCCACGAGCAGGCCAAGTGAGTGTGACGTCACTGCCTAAAGTCGCTTGTGCTCAGGACAGTTCTTCTAAGGGAATGCCAGCGGAAGCGCACACTGCGGCCGAGGATCGAAAGAGGTATCGATCTCAATCGCCCGAATAGACTCGGTCACCCGTAAGGCTCCTCATGACAATCACATCTCAGCCGTTCCTAAGGCTTCTGCACATGTATACCTGCAATGCCTGCGGCAAGACATGTCATGACGCGAAAAGAATCAGCCTGCGGTATGAGTGTAGGAAGAGCCGTCGGCACCTCAATTCACCATCGATAACAGACCCAACAAGCGGAGCTGGGCTGAATCGACGAAGAAGGCTGGGTCTTACAGCGCCAACTGTTTTGACTGAGATGCCTCTTGTTTCCTAAACCCGACATCTCCGGCTTTCGTTCATTGAAGGGGTTAGCTTGTATTCGTCCAAGGAGCAGTTGCCGATGCCTGGGCAGTAGCACAGCTTGTAGCCGCAGTTGACGTCGTCGGGAAGGCATCCTTCTTCCTGTGTTCCGACCTGGAAATTTTTGGCAACCAAGAGCCAACCGCCAGCAACAGCCAAGGCAAGTCCGCCTTAGCAGTACCGACGTTGAACACGTTGATGCTGGTGGTGTTCGTCTCGTCAACATATGTGGTGACCTGCACCCGTATCGTAACAAAAATTCTGATACTCCCCGAGAGTCACCACGTTTCAGAAAAGAGCCTGCCCCTGCACCCACGCCGGATTCGAGCCTGAGCGCAAGCTACCTAACACTAACACTGTATCCTGACAGTCAACATCCGAGCCAAGGGCCGAATCCGAAGGTCGGCGAATCTGTCGCGCAGTTGCTTCCCTCTGCCACAATCTTCAGGCGATCGTTCCTTGGAGCTCCGTCTGACTCATGCGCCTCTATGCTGCAATTTTCGGGTTTCCGAAAATAAAGGACCCTAATATAGTACCCTAGATAGTAGGATCCATATTATAAGGACCCCAAACAAGGTACCCCAAATTTTCGGAAACTCCCATTTGTATGACACCCGCTTTCTGCTGCCCACGCATCGGACCCAAGCGCCACCCTCTCAGCTCGATGAGACACTCGGAGCCGCGTCTGCACACGTAGACCTGAAAGAGTCTGCTTTTGGAAAGTTGGCATAGTTATTATTATTATTACTAGAATTATTATAGTGATTATTATTATTATTGTTATTCTTATGTTCATGCTTACATGCTGTCTGTCTGTTCTCATGGCTGCAGCTCGGAAGATCTAACTCAACACAAGGTCCCCGTAGAATCATCCCCCCATATCAGCCGGTAAGAGCTGCGTAGATTGCAAACGCCGGAGTACTTCCCAACTTGCCGCATCCAACGTCGAGGCCCCGGCTTGAGTGGAGTCAGCTCCAGAGACCATCACAGTTCCGGCCACCCCACCATAGTCATATGGGTTCGAACAGGACAAGACGCTGGAGCAGTAGCAAACCTTTCAAACGAGAGACATCCAAGGAGTTTTTACTCGTCTGAGACTCGGTCGCGGCCTTGTAGTCACCACTTTCCCTGATACCGCCAAGAAGGAACCTCTGCACTTTGCTCTTTGCTTCGCAGAGGGTGTTGGTTTTTCCGCAAAGGCCAAGTCGACACTGTTGCAACTGCGGCCCCGGCAGGTTTTGGGAGCTGTTCTGGTTGGGCTCAGGCGCAATGCTGTTGGTTTGCAGAGACTGACCGCTGTTGATGAGGACCTCCTGCAAACAGTTTTGCGCAGCAGAATGCAAGTCACAGGCAACTGCCCAGTCCCTGCTCACCTGTGCCGGCACCCCAGCGACTGGATTCCCATTGCAAGGGAAGCCGTCTCTCACCTGATCCGACTTCAAAGTGAAGGGAAGCTCTGAGCCTCTGAACCTCCTCGCTTCGATTCGCTGGGGACCTGGCGAGCTTGGCACGGTCGAGAACTGAGAGCATGAACCCAATGACGGTGATGTCGCAGTCGATGCCGACAACGCAAGCGTAAGCCTTTCAGACAAGCTGAGCAGCTTTCACTGGCACAGCATCAGCAGATCCCACCTGTGCTCCAAGAGGGCCACGCACCTGATGCGAGCAAGCTCTCTCTGGTGCACTGGAGCTGTTCTGGCAACGAATTTGGACGGCCTGGAGGTTGCTGGCGAAGCTTGTGAACTCCGAGGGTTCCGTGCAGGGCAGCGTGTCGGTACCATTGGTGTCCAAGTAGGTCACACAATAGCAGACCTTAAAAAGTCCGCCATGCTGCGTCTCGACGCTACTCAAACTGGCTTCGCAGGTCGTCAGCTCCAGATTGCAGGTGACTCCTTTAGGCTCCCCTTGAGCTATCTGGACGTCGGCTGCGCTCTGACCGCACGTGTTGGTGTCGGGAATGATCAGCACATGGTCGGACAAAGCCAGCAATGCTCCATCCCAGGGGCCCAGGGTGCATGTCTGACCCGCTGCACACAACGTGTCGACCCGGGCGAAGGGACCCTTCACGATCAGTGCACCAGCATCGACCCTAAAGTGCTGGCTGCTATCACACGTCTCTAGACCACTTGCGGCGGGGCACCAGCACAACCGATAGAAACCGCCAGGAGTCGATGTATTCAGAGCAAAGAAGTCGGTGCTGTTTGAACCGTCTCCCCAGCCGTATTGCATGCCACCCTGGGTGGCTGGATTTGAGATTGCGCCGTTTGGAAAGCCGGAGACGCCTGCTCCCAGCCCGCAGACTTCCAAGACCATGACCTTCTCGCCGCTTTGGAGTCCATATCCCAGGAAATTATCGAAACTGCAGGTCACACCTGGATAGCATTGCTGCAGTTGGTACAGGTTGGGGCCAATCATGTGCAGCTCACCGCTGTCGACCACATAGTCTGTGGGAGAACTGCACTTGGACGTGGCGGCACACCAGCAAAGCCGGTATGTTCCTCCAGGTGCTGTAGCTCGCAGCGGGCCCCAAGAAACCGAGTTTCCCAAGTTGGAGTGCTCTGTGGAGAGGGCGCTGTTGGGCATCCTGGGAAGCACGAAGCTTGTTCCGCAGGTCGCGAGGACGGTGATGCGGTCGCTGATCAGCAAAGACTGGCCGAGGAATCCATCGAAGCGGCACACCTGACTGGAGATGCAGGTCTTTGTGTGATCCAGGAAAGGGCCGATGACTGTGAGATTCCCGGTGTCGACCTGGAAGTTGTCTGGGGACTGGCAGGGGGAACCCGCAGGACACCAACACATTGCGTAGATACCTCCAGAGGCAGTGAGTCGTCCTTCAAAGTCAAAGCGGGAGCCACCGGCGGTCCCCACCGATATGCCATTGTTTGAAAAGCCGGAAATGAAGGAGGCATTTGAGGGCAGGCACGAGGGACTGATTAGAAGGCGATCCCCATTCTGGAGCTCATAGCCACCAAACTGCGTGATGCTGCAGACCTGGCCACTGGTGCAGAACTTCCTCTGGCCGATCGCCGGGCCTAGCATCTTCATAATTCCGACCTCCGTACGGAAGTACTCTCCAGAGGAGCAGTTCGGAGCAAACACCGAGCACCAACACATGGAATACTCGCCTCCGGCACCAGTAACATGTAGCCCGCCGCTGGAGATGCCCCAGGCATACTCTGTACCCTGAAAAATTGCAGGATCTGTTATGCCGTTGTCGGGCCAACCTGGTAGTATCTCATTCGTGCCGCACTGATTCATGACCATTATCCGATCACCGTCTGCGAGCCCCAGACCACGCAAGTTTGAAAAGCCACACTCCGTGCCGCTCCTACATGTACGCTCCTGTCCCAAGTACGGTCCTGGAAGTGTGAGCAAGCCAGCCTCCACGTTGAACAGATCCGCTCTGTCGCAGGAATACATATTGGAACACCAGCACATCCAATAGATGCCTCCACCGGCTGTCACGTAATCGTCCCACACGAAAGTTGTTCCGTTGTCGATTGACTCACCTGAAATGCCCATGTTTGGAAACCTGGGAATTACTCCATTGGGGTCACCGCAATTGGTGGAGATCATCATTCGATCGCCGTTGCTCAGCCCGTAGCCTGCAAAGTCCTCCACAGCGCAGAGCTCACCGCTTAGACAAGTCTTGCTCTGAGTCAAAGGCGATGGCCCCACGACATACAAGAGCCCGTACTCCACGCGGAAGTTGGAACCGCTTCTTGTACAGGTCTGAGAAGCTCCACACCAGCACAGCTTGTAGAATCCACCTGGTGAAGTGACCGGAGCGGCGTCGGAACCAGACCACGTGATCGTGGTGCCATTGTCTACGGCTGGATCTGAATAGCCTTGGTTTGGAAAGCGTGCAATGTACAAGTCCGTGTCACAGTAGCGCAAGACCATCGTCCGGTCTCCGTTGCTCAAGCCAACACCACTTACCTGGTTGGCCACGCATGCAGCACCAGAGAAGCACGTCTTGGCCTGGTTGTGATGCGGTCCAATCAACTTCATAGTGCCCGCGTCAACGGCAAAGTCGATCAGGTCTGCACAAGTGTAACCGGCAGCACACCAACATAGGCGGTAGTAAGCACCCTCAGCCCGAACTTCACGCTCACTCGTGGTTCCTATGACTGCCCAGTTGTATGTCTGATATGTGATGTCATCCAAGGTGGTCTCAATTATTCCAGGATCGCTAATTCCCCAAACAAAAGTGTTTGAAGGCCAGAACGGAACAGTGGAGTTGAACTCCCAAGCCGGACTGCAGTCACGCTTCACCATCAGTAGATCACCATCACTTAGGAATTGACCTTGAAGCCCAGAAATGCTGCAAGCTTCATTGGTCGTACAGGTATATCTCTGCAAGCGTTGTTCCACTGTGAGGAGACCCGTGGGGTCGGGCAGCTCAAGGAACGGTCCAACGACGTTGAGCTCTCCGATGTCCGTCTGAAAGTCTCGTGCTTCGAGGCATGGGTAGTTTGCAGCACACCAGCACATCCGGTACAAACCGCCAGGGCTGGTTATCACCTGATTGCCAGATCCCCACGAGAAGCTGGATCCGTTTGAAGAGGCATTGTTTGAAGGACCATCAAACCAACCGTACTGGCCAGCAGCAATCAAGTGCTGGTTGTATATACCCCACTTGTCGGAGCTTTGAATGAGCTGCAGGGTTTCGGGATGTGCGCAGGTATCCAGTGCCATGAGTTTGTCGCCATCTTGTGTGTAATGGCCTTCGACGCCAAAAAACGCACAGGGCTGCCCTGCCACACATGTCCGAGAATATGTGAGAGGATATGGACCCAGGAAGGACAGGTGCCCAATGTCGACGCGGAAATCGCTTGCCAAGGAGCAAGTGTAGTTGTGCGCGCACCAACAGAGCCTGAAATTTCCACCCTGACTGGTGGGCCGGACTCCACGGCAGTCAAAGTTGTAGGGCTCCATGCATGTCGGCTCCTGGCCCCACGTCGCTAGAGTCCCGTTCTCGGACATCAGGTCTGAGACCCCGCCTCCTGTGAAGCGGCGAGGTGCCGTGAACAAGCCACAGGTCTCCAAGACCATGAACCGATCCCCGTTACCAAGGTCTTGTCCAGTGATGTTGTAAGCGAAGCACGGCTGGCCAGACACGCAAGTGTTATCTTGATATTGCGGCGACGGTCCGATGATGGTCATGGCACCGGCGTCCGTCTGGAAATGTCGAGACAGTTGGCAGTTGAAGCCAGAAGCACACCAGCACAGGCGGTAAATGCCGCCCGCGGACGATATCGCATGACCGTTTGTCGTCTGCATCTCAAATGAAGTGCCACCAGCAGTAGCCTCCGTGGCAATACCCAATTCCAGCAACCAACCCCCCTTTCCTACTCGTACCAATTGCAAGAAGCCAGCAACAACATGCCATTCCTCCGAGCAACTGCGTTCGACAGGCCGCCGGCCGCAAATCGCGGTACCACTGCGTTCAAGGCAGTAAAGTGGTGGTTGGCCTCGAATTCCAGCTCAAAGTGCTCCACACAAGTTGCTTTTTCGCCACACGTGCGAGTACCTAGTATTATCCAGGTGGTTCTGGCCTTTGCAGAAATTCTGTTTCCCGCAAACGCACCCAGCTATCTCCCGTGGCAACATCTTGACAACGCTGTCAGAACAGGATGGCTTAAGTGGTGGACGGTTTTAAAGCGCTGAGTACAGTGCAGTAACGTCTCAGGCACCGACACAGGTGCTCAAGACCAGGATCCTGTCACCGTCCTCACACAACTACCAAGCACAGGCCTACTCTGCCTCATGGCTCACCAGCATTTCTAGGTTCCCAGCTTGAAGGTAGGCCCCAGCAAAGCCTTGGAAGGCACATGGCTGCCCAGCCACGCAGGTCCTGAGCCAACGCAAGGCTTTTGAGTTATATTTCCCGAGGCTCCATTGCTCGGTAAAGGGGCCCTCTGAGCAGCCGACCGGCTCTGAAAGCTTGGCCAAGGACCAACAACATGCAGGGTGCCGGCGTCTGTTTTGAAGTCTGACCTGAGGACACCATGTGTCGGCTATGAACAACAACCCTGACATCACGGCTTCATCCGCCACTCATGAAACGTGACGTTGGGCAGCGCGCGGTCGGCTGCATGGACTGTCGGGCTGCGGATTGGCACACCAACACAAGCGGTACAGCCCGCCAGGAGCAGAGACCTGCAATGCCAACAAAAAGCGAAACGGGGCCAGGCAGTCTCATCGCACTTTCACGAGGGAACCTCAATGTGGCCCCACGAGAAGTTGCTTCCGCCGCCGGTGGCTGGCTGCGAGATTGCAAGGGACCTGACGTGCAGAAAAAACAGTTCCCTTCGTGCTGCATCAGATTTTGAATCTTTAGCCGATCCTGGGAGCTTCTGGATTGCTCCATCTTGGTACCATGGCACCCATTAGGCCACACGTGTCAAGGACCTCGGACACAAACATGGAGATTGAATCTTGTGCGATGTCTCTTTGGGAAGCTTCAAGCACCCGGCCATGATCGCATCGCCGTCCGACAACAGATGCCCTGCGAAATCCGACCAGGAGCAAACCTGACGCGAGCATCCGCAGATTCTGTGAGCACGGCACCGACAATCATGTCCGGGCCCAACCTGCCCGCTCACACATGTCCGCTCTTGGTCGAGAGGAGCCGGACCGACCAGAGAAAACGTTCCCGCATCGATTCGAAAGTAGCCAGTGCCTCGCGTCCAACGGCAGGTGAAGTCTTGTGTCGAAACCTAGGATTGCCCTGTGCAGACAAGCGGCCGAGCTCCCCAAACTCGCGCGAAGCCCAACAAATGCGATAGGCACCGCCCTGCGCCGTGATGTAGGCTCCGAGGTCTTCACCTTGTCCAAGACTCTCTCACACAGAAAATCGCAGCATTCCACAGATTTCAGCTTGCCGCACGGCGCCTCCCCATGAGTAGCTGCTACCATCTGCCAGGCTGGTATTGAAAGCCGGCAGCGACCTGACTTTTACTCAGCGCGCAGAGGCCCGACAAAACCAAGCTGAATCGGCCTTCCTTCCCACGGAAACCGCGGCACGATGTTCTCTGGGTGATCATAACCCAAGTTTGCACCCTTGAAGGTGCTGCACCTAGGCTTAAGAAGCTCCAGCCAGGGTCGTGTTGAAACGGGCCTGACGACGAAGTCTCGTTGCAGCAAGCTTAGAAGCACGCTCGTCGAGGATCATGATGCGGTCAGCATCCTGGGAATGCGCAGATCAACTGCCGGTGTTTGGCCAGGCGCTGTCTGCTTTCCGGGCCTCCAGTCCGAAGCCCTTGAAGCCACTCCAGGCGCAGACATGACCTGCTCGTGTTCCCGCTTTGGGATCCAGTGACTCCGCGCCAGGTCTCCTAAGGTCCTAAGGGTATGGCCGCTGATGCAGGTCCTGTTGTTCTGGAAGCTGCCAGGGCCCAAGATCTCAAGCAAGTGCTGGCATAGCTCGTGCTTGCAACGTGAAGCTCAGAAATTCTGCGAGGATCCTGGGGTCGATGCCTGTATGGCACCAATGTCCACGGCAAAATCCGAAGGGACTTCCTCGAATAGTACGAAAAGTACTGCAATTTCCTGGGAACGCTTGGCAAGGCCAGCTTCGGCATGAGCAACGCCCGCTCCTGTGAGAAGCCGTTTGCTGCCCAGCAAAGGCGGTAGAGACCACCTTTGGCCTTGGCTTGCGCCGCACTGCGCCGCGTCGTGCAGAACCCCTGCTAAGTCACCGGCAGAAACTGCCACGGCATTCTCACCACCCCAGGTGAAGGCAGTTCCGCCTTCCGTCGCCGGATCGGAGATCCCACGAGGCCTTTTTGCGCTTGTCTGGCATGCACTTCTGGGTTTCCTGTCCTAAATTCCTAAGATACGAACTGCCCGGGGACGCCAGGTGCATCTCCAACGAAGCGCGGCACGTAGTCCACCTCGGAACAAGTCGGTAGTGCCGAAGTGTTACACACTTGGCCAGCTGTTGCTTGGGTCGCTGCATTGAGGCCTACTCGTCCGCAGGTGTCGAGGACCATGATTCGGTCCCCATCCTGAAGTACAAAAACATATCAAAATCGAGCTTCCATCCGAAACCACGGGCAGAGAGGAAGCAGATGAGAGGCCGACTTGCAGGTGAAGCCCCGTGATGTTGGTGAAAGCGCAGGGCTGCCCAGACGCGCAGGTGCGCCGTTGATCTGAGCACCACACTTACACAGAACATCACACGCTCATGTGCACCCTACCGGATCGCGTATGTACGTCGTGCATATGACTACGTGACTATAGTATACATGACGCGCCCCCGCCTAAGGGTACAGGACCGGCAAGGTCGAAGCCTCAGGGCTTGCAAAGATCTTGCCAAAGTGAGCCGGCAATGGACTATTGCAATCTATTGCAATCCCGCTAATCCCCATGTGTTCAGCCAGGCAGCGTCCGAAATCTACTCGAAACTCTGGTGCCGCGCTGCAGGAATACCCCGCAGCACACCAGCACATGCGATAGCGGCCTCCCATGGCAGTGATTGGCACGCTGCCCCAGGAAATGGATTCTCCAGCATTCGTGGCACCTTCAGAGAGAGATTGAACGCCATTGTTGCTTGGGAATCGTGGCAGGTGAAGCCCAGAATCCGAGCTGCTGTAATGGTCGAACTTGGACACATTCACGTACGAACCACAGGTCTCGAGTATGTGAACAAGGTCGTTGTTCTGCAAAAAGCTGCCAGTGAGAGGCTTTAGCTCGCAAGGCTGCCCTGCGACACAGGTCTTGTGCTGGTTCAGCGGCGCTGGCCCCACAAGGGTCATGTCCCCAAAATCCATGCGGAAGTCGGCCGGGTCGTTGCACTGGTACCCGTAGGGGCACCAGCACATGCGGTATTGGCCTCCAGCACTGGAAGGTGGTATGAGGTTCTCACGAGCTGTCCGGAAACCTCCGAAACGGAACTCGTCACCGTTTACCGCCCCACTGAAGGCACCATCGCGCTCACAAATGTAAGTACGTGCCACCGTGCAGGCATCATCGTGGAAGGTGCCGTCTCCCAGCAGGTAGACACAATCCTCATTGTTCGACAGAGTGAGGGCTGGTTGATGCACTCCCCAGTTTGAGAAAGAGAAGGCACTAGCGTCGGTGTATTCGAAGATGCCTTCAATCGTCTTGTCGTTCAAGCCGATCCAGTAGCTCTCAGCCGGCTCCAGAACCCACTCCACCAGAAAGTCTAAGTCACTTTGTGAAGAAATGCTGGCCAAATGTCCACCGTAGATCGCATCACAGGCAGCTTCCGCATCATCCCATGTGAGCTGGCTGGAGAACACAGAGTAGCAGCGGCTGTCTGGATGATATGGTATCCACCTCATCGAGGAGCCACAAGGATGTGCAGAGGAGACGGCAGGCTCCGACAAAGCCAGCCCCGAGGATCCGTAAGAAGATCCCGGCCAGCGGTCTGTGACGACTCCGCAGCCCTGTAAGGCCAAGGTGGCGTTGTAGCCGGGCAGCTCAGATTCTGCGGCATCCTCGAGGGGATGATAAGGGCACATGGGTCTGTACGAGGCTTTGCCACAATCATCCAAGACCATCATCCGGTCTCCGTGCTGCAAGCCATGACCTGCGACGTTACTGACAACACATGCCTGGCCAGCCACACAGGTTCGGTGCTGCTCCATTGAGCTGGGTCCAAGAATTGTCAGGCCCCCAAGTTCAACTTTGAAGTGCTCGAACATCGAACAAGTTTGGCCATGCGCACACCAGCACACCTTGTACGACCCACCCGGTGGAGTCGGGTACACTGTGCCTCCCCCCCAAGAGATATCTGCTCCTGCATTGACTGCTTCATCCGAAATGCCACACCCAATTGCAGTCTTTTCGTACAGAGAATGCATGTCGTTATCACACGGCACATCCCTCAGGCACTTCATCGGGCTTCTGCACTCGGAATTAAAGCGTGGCACCAGGCTGGGATGAGTCATCGATGCCCCGTCCCAGATCATACCCGACGAGCTGAGGCCAGATTGTCCGCATGTGTCCAGCACCATCACTTTGTCACCCTCTGACAGTGCAAAGCCCGTAAGGCCCACAATGCTGCAAGGCTGTCCTGTTACACAGGTTTGGTGCTGTTCGAGTGGGGCAGGTCCAACGATCGACAAGGCACCGGTATCAGCAGCAAACGAGCTGCAGACACCACTTCCTGAACACCAACACAGACGATACCGCCCACCTGAGACCATGGAAACTGTCTCTGCGCCCCATGATCCTCCAAACGTGTACTGCGACGGTGCTACTTTTGTGAGGAAGACTTCTGCACCCAACTCGAGCCATCCGCTGTAGGTAAAGTTCCAGGAAACGCCCAGTGCTGATACGACCAAGCTTTCAAGGAACCAGCGATCTTCGGTGTCCGAGAAGATTTTGATACCACTCCAGTCCCAACCAGTGGGCCACAGAACTGCTGTTTGGAAGGTCTGATACCCAACGTCTAGGTCCGTCAAGTCTAAGGCAGTGGTGAACAAACACTCCTGACTCGAGCGGCACACGTACAATCGGAAGGGGCCTGTAGAATTAGCGCCATTGCGCGGGCCAGTCAGCACGGTCGCCATAAGAAGTTGGTTCGGCACCGTGGCCCACTCGTTCACAACACCCAAGACACGATCTTCTTGACGCTCAACCCGTGCCACAGAGCGGTACAAGAAACAAGTCATGTCACTTGGCCTGTACACCCAAATAACACAGTCGGAGTACAGGCTTCGCTGACACAGGGCACAGCATTCACTTTGAGTCTTTCCTGTCAGGCCAGATCCATGGGCGGCCAGGGCATCAACAACCCCAAGACCCACATGTCCATAACAGGAAGAAGGCTGCAGATCCGAAACCGCACCTTGCGGAACACCAGTTGTCGTCAAATTGAAGCCACACGTATCTAGGACCTGCAGCTGATCGCCAGCATCCAGTTCCACACCGGTAATGTCGAATGCAGCGACTTGGCCAAGAGTGCAAGTGCGCTCCTGACCCAAATATGGCCCCACCACCACCAGAGTTCCAACAAGAACTTTGAAGTCTTCTGGCACCGCGCAGGCTGAGCCGCCTCCACACCAGCAAATCTTGTAGTATCCGCCTCCAGCTGTCAGCGGCTCGTCTGTTGCAAATCCCCAATAAACCTTCTGAGTAGTCCCGAAATCAGAAATGCCATCATTTGGCATACCACCTACTGCAGGACTGCGTCCACAATGAGTCAGAACGGCATATTTGTTCAAGTCTGAAAGACCTTCTCCCACCAAGCCAGCAAGCTCGCAGGGAGCCCCAGCAAAGCAGCGTTGAGACTTTGAACGGAGCGTGTCAACATCTGCATTGCCAAAGAGGTGTTCAACCGCAAAGTCTGCCAGGCCAACATCGTAGAACCTCACATCATCGATGGAGGCGTGTAAGGGCAGATCTTGCAGGAAGTTCAAGTAAATCTGGCCGTAGACGTTGCTTTGAGAATCGGGTGCAAGAGTCGAAAACCCCCATCGCTGCCCATTCCGGTAGAACATCACGGTGTCTGCTTGCTTGACGAAAGCCAAATGCGTCCATTCATCGACCTCTAGAACCTGTGTCAGCGAGGTGCTAGCTGAGCTTGGTAACACTGGCACGTAAGGGCGGTCCTGTGGAGTATAATACTGCTGGGAATAGTTCTGGCCAAGCTCATCGTACATTGTCCATACGACACTTCCGTACGAAGTCATAGAGATCGACGGGGATATCTCCAAGTCAGGAAGATGCGCCAACCTCCGACCAAGAATACCGCCCTCGGATGCAGAATGCGGCTTGACCCATATGGAAACAGTGAACTCGTGCAAGGAGCCGTTTGACAAAGCATCCGTTTGGAGTGGATCAACAGGCAAGGCCAGACTGCTCTGATCGCTGAAGCGGAGGGCGCCCTGGTTGTAGCCGTCCCGTCCTACGGCAACTGAGGCCTCGGTGACAGGTGTTCCGACTGAGTCTAGAGACTCCCGGAGATTCCCATCATCAAGGCCATAGGATGCAACACTTTGAGGGAAAAGATTGCGTACCAGGAAGGTCCTGAACTTCGCTGCTCCGCCTAAGCTTCCAGTCGACACATACAGACCGATGCGCCGACCAGCAGAATTGCTCTCAACCTGCTCCGCTAGAAGCCTCCACTCCGTCTCGAGGAACAGGCGATCGCCCGCTTCGCCAGCAGTTTTGACGAAGACTCTCTGCCTGATGCTGGGATCCGAATCAGTGGCATCATCGGGTGCCAACCAAACGTCAGAGCCCAGCTTGTAGTTGTACCACAAGTCGAAGCGGCCGTTGCCGGTCCGCTCGATCTTCAGCGAGACCCACTCCACCGCCAGAGAGCCCAAATCTTGCAGCCCGACCGTTCCGGTGAGGCCGGCCGTGCCGTAGCGCAGAGCGGCAATTCCCCCAGAGGCCCCGAAGCCTCGTGAAGTGAACTTGTCGAAACCGAAGAGCAGGTCGGGTTTCTCCCCGTCTCTGTCGTAGACGGTGAAGCCAGCCGCAACATCAGAAGCAGCTACACGCACGGCCACACGTGCCTCCCAGAGACCGGACGGCGGAGAGTCCACATACAAGATCGGCATACTGCCTCTTGCCGAGCCAAGCTCAGAATTCACAGAGCAGTGGATGGCAAGACTCCCGCCATACTCTTCAATCGAAACCACGCTTGGATCTGGTACATCCTGACGCCAAATCTCCTTTGGCTGCTGTGGCCCAATTGATGTTGGGATGAAGAAGTCTGCCAAGTACTCGGAGGGGCCCACGAGGATGAAGGACCCCGCCTTCGTTTAAGGCGATGAGGAAAACGTCTTAGGGCTACAACATGATACAATTAACGGCACGAACACTCTACTTGTTCACTGGGTTGTCACCTCAGCGTGACACTCACACATGCTCACATACTTTACATTGTGCGCGAGCCTCTGTCTTGAAATCCTCTGACGTAGCGCAGCCGTTCGGGTTCACATCCCCGGCGCACCAGCAAAGCTTGTAGATGCCACCTGCTCACATAACAACACATGGAGAGATGCCTTCTCGATGATTGCTTTGCATAGCTGGACAGCTAGACTCAAAGCAAAGCCAGGCCTGCGGCTGTGATCAACTCCGCAGAGAAGCTGAACTGGAACGTTTCGCCGACGTAAGCCTGCAAAGGCAACCGTCCACCATCTGGGAATCCAGGAATCTCGGGATATCGGCTGCGAGGAGATGGCCAAGGCTCCACAGGGGCACCACATTCGTCTGCGACCATGATCTGGTCACTGGGGCTTAGATGAACTCCCACGATCCAACCCCAGCACGGGGAGCCAGAAGCACAGTAGACTTGATTCTGCTGACTCGGGCCGACAAGGGTCAGTGCACCAATATCAACGGAGAAGTGCTCCTGCAACTTGCACAGATAGCCTGCAGCACACCAGCACATGCGGAACTGGCCCCCGGCTGTGGTCCAAGGCTCATCGCCCCAGGAGAAGCGGCTGCCCCCTCCTAGACCAGGCAAGGAAAGACCACGCTGAGGAATGCCGGACACCTCTGTCCCGATGCCGCAGGTGTCAAGAATGTGCAGTGTGTCTCCGTATTGTAAGAAGAGCCCTGTGACGTTGGCAACAATGCAGGGCATGCCACTGACACAAGTGCTGTCCTGGCTTAAAGGATCTGGACCAAGCAGTGTCAACTGACCAAGATCTGTCGCAAAGTGCTCTGGCAATTCGCAGGTGATGCGCTCGCCTTCCAGAACTTCCGTCAAACCTTTGGGTCTGCACCAGCACAGCCGATAAACTCCGCTGGCAGATGATATTGGGGCGAAGAGCGTCGAGGAATCCTGCAGCCAAGTGAAAGTCTGGCCACTGGTGGCAACACTGTTCACGATGCCGTCATTGGGAAACCGTGAGATCAGATCTGCCTCCGTCGTCAAAAGACCACATGTATCTCTGATCATAATCAAGTCTTGTGATGTAAGGTCTTCTCCGACAATGCCTTTCAGTCTACACATTTGTCCACTCATACAGGTTCTGTCTTGCTGCAGTGGATAGGGACCTTGGAGCTGAAGCAACCCAAGATCTTGCAGAAAACTCTCTGGTCCACCATTGCAGTCGAAGCCACCTGCACACCAGCATAAGCGGTACTGACCTCCACCGGCGGTAACCCGCACCGCGCTGAAATCAAACTTGCTCATGATTGCTTCTGGCACGGTGGCCGTGGTGCTTCCTGCAGCATCTTTGACGACTCCACGTAGTGACTGCGACGTCATGAGGCCCAGCATCGGCCAACCATGTCCATCTGAGAAGTTCATGTCTCCAACGTGTGGCACACCACAAGTATCCAAGATCATCAGCTGATCGTCAATGTCCAACTTGAAACCCAGAACGTCTTGGATCCAGCAGTTCTGTGCTGACGAGCACGTCCTCGATTGCCCAAGCTGCGGGCCATGAAGAACGAATTCACCAATGTCTACCCGCAGCTGCTCAGCTGTTGAACAGTCTGCAATCTCCGCACACCAGCATATGCGATATTGCCCACCCGCTGCGGTAAGCGGTGTCGTGAAGTTGAGAGTGACCAAGTCGAGCTGCTCGCGCTGCAGTGACTGTGGCAAATTCCAAGCTTCTATCCGGCCCTCGCTTACGACAGCTTCGGCTCGACCGCTCTCCGGAAGACGGTCGACAGTAGCTGCAATTCCGCACGTCTCCAGAATCATGAACGAGTCAGCAGCGCTGATGTGCAGACCACGCAGGCCCGCGATCTCGCATCTCTGTCCGGCAACACATTCTCGACGCTGGAAAGCCCCAACCTCGGGATCCAGCCTTGGTCGCTCTTCTAAGTAAAGTGTCCCCCAGGATTGAGTTATGGCTGATGCTTGGTAACCACCTGCGGCTACTTGTGTCGGTCCAATCAAGGTAAGCTCGCCAACATAGACCTTGAAGTCTGCTGATATTCCACATGCAGCGTCCGTAGCTTGCAGGGATGTCAGGGCACCAAGAGCAGGACGTTGCCCACACCAACACAGGCTATATCTTCCTCCAGCAGCTGTGACGGCATCTGTGCCCCATGCTACTGAAGAACCACTGCTTGAGACAGCGACAGCCTCGCCAGTCCATCCGAAACCAGGAATGAACGATGACACTCCGCAGGTTTCCAAAGCCATAAAGCGATCACCATCTTGCAAGTGCATTCCGCGTATACCATCAAATCTGCATGTTTGGCCACTTACACATGTCCTATCCTGCGACTGCGGCACCGGACCAATGAGAGTCATGCTGCCCAGAGTGACCTAAGAATCAAGGATAGCAATCATTCAGGACGCCTACCGAAGTGAGCTGCCATTCATAACTCCGTAAGTCCCCGGCGCTGTAGCTTGAACTGTCGCTGGAAACAGCAGAAGCCGAAGCCCAGCAGAGCTGGTAGGTGCCTCGTGGAAACTACAGCACATAAGCTTAGGACCTACAACGACCTACAATCTACAAGTACTGAAGGTTGACTCTGATCCTGCCTCCGACCGCAGTGATCGGGGAGCTGAACACATAGGATGCGCCGGAACTGCGGTGTATCGCAGGGGTCTTTGCCACGAGATCGCGGATTCCGCAGGTGTCCAGAAGTGCCAGCGAGTCCAATCCCACGAGGCCGTTGCCCGAAATCTCATCTACCGCGCAGGTCTGTCCAGCGATGCATGTTCTCCCGATAGTGAGCCTGTGTGGGCCTATAAGCTCGAACTGACCCACGGTGACTCTAAAGTCTTCTTTTCTGCTGCAATCATGGTCAGCTGCACACCAGCACAAGCGATATTGGCCACCAAGAGCTGTGACGAGCGTTGTGCCAAAGTGCAGTTCACACTCCCCCCCGACACAAGTGGAGTTGTCAAGAGCAGCAAGCGTAAGAAGGCCAGCGTCCGGCAAACCCTCAATGAGGCCGGAGATGCCACAGGTTTCCAGGATCATGTAAGAGTCTGCTCCAGACAGCATGGTGCCGAAAGGTGTCGACATGCTACACGTCTGACCACTGAAACACGTCCTGATGGATGCAGCGGATTCAGAGACTGGCCCGATAAGCGTCAAACCACCAACGTCTATCCCGTAATGCTTTGCTGTGTTGCATGTGGCTCCAGCAGCACACCAGCAAAGTCGGTAGGAGCCACCCCCAGCCGTTGCGACCATCGCACCAAAAGAAATTGCAGTGCCGCTACTTGTCACGGACGTTATTGCACCAGCATTGACGAGGCCATCCACTATGGATGCACCACACGTGCTCAGTACTGCCCATCGGTCTGACGAGCTTAAGCCGTGCCCAAGCAAGCCATCAGCAAAACACTCCTGTCCTGCGACGCAGGTTCGGTCCTGCTGCAACGGCCGGGGTCCGAATATACTCAGCCGGCCGATGTCAATGCCCGGGACTTCACAGCTCCCTGCACACCAGCAAAGCCGGTACTCTCCACCTTGCGCAGACAGCGTGACGCTTCCAAATGAGGCTTTGCCATCACCGGAACTTACAGACAGGCTCCCGTCAGTGGGCAAGCCTGCGGGCCAGTCTGAAGCACCACAGGTGTCCAAAACCATCAATCTGTCAGTGGGCTGGAAAGCACCTGTGAAGCCGTCAATGCTGCAAGTCTGTCCGGCTATGCATGTTCTGTCCTGCTCAAGCTCAATGGCCGGTCCCAGTACGTGGAGTCGCCCCAGATCCACAGCAAAGTGCTTCGCAAGTTCGCATGGGCTTCCGGTGCACCAGCAGAGTCGGAATTCTCCACCAAATGATGTCACGGTAACGTTCCATTCGACAGAAATGGATGTTGTGGCAAGCGATGCTTCCTCGGCAATGAGCGGCGATGTCAATGGAAACCGCGGGATGACCACACCCAAGTCCTCCGGGCATCAGCATGAAGCACAAGACACTCTACGCTAGTCATAATCCCAGGCCAAGAAGGAAGGTACAGCATCATGCTGGGACAGCACATGTAGCAGCTGTTTGTTCCCAAATGCTCCTCTGACATTCCGCAGGTGTCAAGAACCATGACGGCGTCTGAGGCACCTCAGTATGCTTCTGGGCTCATTAGCAGAATTTCTGTGCCCCAGTGGAACGAACCAGCGAGCAGTCTGGCAGATTCTAGCAAAGCTCGCAAAGCAAATAACACCGAAATTCGCCATGGGGCTGAGCTGAATGCCGGCGAGATTTATCTTGCACTCATAACCTGACGTTGCTGTAACTGCCATGCAGTGGCTTTTGCCCTCTCTTGTACAGCAAACCGGTCAAAACTGAAGCTACCTGACACCCTGCCTGCCACACAAGTGCGGTCCTGATCCAACGGGCTCGGCCCAATCAGAGTCAGCTGGCCGATGTCCGAGATGAAGTTCTCGGCCAACAAGCAGTTGAAACCACCAGCGCACCAGCAAATGCGATACTCACCGCCGGGGGCAGTGACCGGGATGCCTTGCGGGCCACTTCCTTCCAAACGGAGGCTCGTCCCATCGGAGGTCAAGGAGATGCCCGTGATGCCCGTGCTCAAGCCTGGTGCCTTTGCGGACAGCCCGCAGGTGTCCAACAAGACCCCTGCATCTGCTGTGCTCAGGTAGTTGCCCGAAATGCCCTTGATTACGCATGTCTGACCAGCAACACATGTGGCTCCACTGGTGAGAGGTTCCGGTCCAACGAGTGTAAGACGACCCATATCAATCACGAAGTCTTCAGCTGCACTGCAGACTTGGCCTGCTGCGCACCAGCAGATCCGGTAGGAACCTCCGGGTGCAGTCACGGCTGCTGGCCCCCACGAGACAGTGGACTCGCTCAAGGGAGATGAGGAGTTGACCTCGTCCACCCCTGCACCGGCAAATCTTGCCGGGGCCGAAGATGACCCGCATGTATCTAGAACGTAGTACCGATCCGCTGCACTGAGCGCCATTCCGGAGAGAGCATTCAGCAGGCAGGGTTGTCCCGACACGCACGTCCGGTCTTGCTGAAGCGGCCTCGGCCCGAGGACCTGCATCTTCCCGACGTCTACGTCAAAGCTGGACGTCTCATCGCAGGATCCCATGTCTGCACACCAGCAAATCCGATAGAGGCCCCCGGCTGCAGACAGGGCCGGAAGAGACAGGCTCACAAAGGATGTTGCGGAACCGGCCCCTCCGGGCACAGTAACCGCAGAAGTGGCGAAACCACCAGCATCTGGAACACCAGGAACCACGCCGTTTTCTCCACAGGTGTCCAAAAGAAGGTAGCGGTCTCCAGCGCTCAAAAACCAGCCTTCAATGGGGCTGGGCTTGCAAGGCTGCCCCGCAACACAGGTTCGGTGCTGTTCCCTCAATTGTCGGGGACCTTGGACGGTCAACTCCCCCAAATCCACCGAGTAATGTGAGAGCAGGGTGCAGGGCGTAGCACACCAACAGAGCCTGTAACTGCCACCACTGGGTCTCGTGACTTCCGTCGCTATTGCAAAGGTGGAGCCTTCGAGTCCAACCTGCCATCCGCCTGATGCTGATGTGAAAAACTCCGTTTCGGCGTGTTTCTGTGCGAGTCCCAGGTTGCAGGTGTTCAGCACCAGCAGGCGATCATCAGTTGAGAGCCCAATCCCCGTGATGCCATTGATTACACATGATAGGCCTGCGATGCATGTCCGATCCTGCTGCAGCGGCCGGGGCCCAAGAAGGTAGAGTGAGCCTACGTCGGCACCACACTCTGCAGGCGTAGCTTCCACGGTAACGTTTGCACACCAACACAGGCGATAGATGCCACCAGCCGAGCTGGTGCTTGTCGAAATTGCTGACAAGGTTGATGAACCTTCCGCAAACGTACTCATGCCGCTCGGCACGTCAAGGAATGTCTGGAAGCTTGTGAGGCTGGGACTGTCCATGCTATCGGCAAGCCCACATGTTTCGAGCAACATGATTCCATCTCCATCGCCAAAGTAGTTGCCAACGATCTCATACAAACTGCAGGTTTGCCCAGTGAAGCATGTTGCGTGTTGCTCGCGCAACATCTTTGGGCCAATGACTAGGATGCTGCCAAAGTCAACATTGAAGTCAGCCAAGCTGGAACAAGCGAAACCTTCTGCACACCAGCAAAGCCGATACGTGCCCCCTGCTAGCTGTAATGCGCCGGTCGAAGCGAAGGCAGCCAGATCTGAGCCGTTGTACCTGCTCAATTGTGATTCCAGGCGAGGAGACGTCGAGACGTTGGCGTCGAGCTCTCGCAAGAGAGAGCACGTGTCCAAGACCAAGACTTGATCATCTCCTGACAAAAAGGCCCCATCCAAGCCGCCAATGCGGCACCTTCGACCGCTCAAGCATGTCCGCTGCTGATGGAGACTGGGACCTATCACAGTCAAAGCGCCGACATCCACTGTGAAGTCATCCTTGGCGTGACACTGTGCATCCGGTGAACACCAACACAATCGATAAAGTCCTCCGGCGCTGGATATAGGGGCACTGCCAAACGTGTACACCGACACCGGCTCTGGTGGCCGGTAGTCAGGCAAGCCCGAGCACCTGTCATAGCAGTCCGGAACTCCGTCGTTGTCGGAGTCGGTGTCCGACACACCGCATCCGCATTTGCCTGGAACTACTTTGCTGTTGTCGCTCGGGCATAGGTCGTTGCAGTCTGCAACGGAATCGGAGTCGCTGTCGGTGTCCGCAACTCCACAGCCGCACTGACCTGGAGTAGTCTTTGTCCCATCTGATGGACAGCCGTCGCTGCAGTCGGGAGTCCCGTCACCATCAGAATCTGTATCTGGCACGCCACAGCCGCAGGTACCTGGCGCGATCTTGCCGGGATCAGAAGGGCAGCCGTCGAAGCAGTTGTTCGTGCCATCGCTGTCACTGTCTGCACTCGCAGCCGTGCATCCACAAACAGGCGGAGTCTGATCAGGGAAGCCTGGGCAGTCATCGACACAGTCCGGCACGCCATCTCCGTCGGTGTCATCGATGTCTGCAAGCCCACATCCGCAAATGCCAGGAGCTACTTTGCCTGCATCCAACGGGCAGCTGTCTATGCAATCAGGCACACCATCAGAGTCCGAATCCACCTCGCTTGTGCCACAGCCGCAAATACCCGGAGAAGACTTGAGGGGATCACTTGGGCAGGCGTCGAAACAGTCTGGGATACCATCGGAGTCAGAGTCTGTGTCCAAGATGCCACAGCCACACTGACCCGTCTGACTCTGCGCAGGATCAAGAGGGCACGCGTCCACGTAGTCGGGATCGCCATCCTCGTCAGCGTCCAGCGCAGCTGCGCTGCAGCCCCAAGAGGGTCTCGGGGCCCGGCCATGAAGTTGCCCTGCCTGCGGCAGCCTCTCCAGCTGATCTGCCTCACCGCAGGTGCTGAGAATCCAGATCGTGCCCATGCCGGAGCTTCCGAAAGAAGAAAAGCCTTCAAAGTTGCAGGTCTGTCCGGCAACGCATGTTCTGTCTTGCTGCAGCGGCGATGGTCCTACCAAGTTCAGACTTCCGACATCAATGGCAAAGTCCTCGAAGGTGCTGCAGCTCATTCCCGTTGAGCACCAGCATAGGCGGTACTGACCTGCCGTGAGAAGCTCCGGGGAAAATTGGTAAGAGGTCCCACTAGCAGAGGTCGCCAAAGGCAACACTGTCCACGGGTAGCGACCTACCTGGTTCACCATGCAGGTCTCCATGACAACAACTCGATCATATTCAGCCAAGTCCATTCCGGTCAAGGAATCCAAAGTGCACGTCTGGCCATTGATGCAAGTCCAGCTCTGTTCCAACGGCGATGGGCCCACCACCTGGAATTGCCCGAGATCGACGCGGAATTCCTCTGCCTTTGTGCATCCCTGGCCGTGAGCGCACCAGCACAAACGAAACTCTCCACCTTGGCCAGTAAGTCTGACATTCTCAAAGCCGAATCCTTGCACCGTCAGGTTCGAAGTGAAACGCCCACTGTTCGGCATACCTCGAAGCTCTGTGAGCGAGCCGCAAGTGGCTAGCACAGCAACCTGATCCTGAGGGTTGAGATGGGTGCCTTCCAAGCTATCGACATGGCACGCCTGGCCTGCGACACATGTGCGATGCTGTGTCAATGGGGACGGCCCCATGATTGTGAGAGAGCCAACATCAATCACAAACGCATCTTGCGTGGAACAATCGAAACTGGCAGAGCACCAGCACAAGCTGTAGGTACCGCCAGCTGCGGTCACGAAACCGCCGAACCTGGGATTGAGGCCATCACGAGCCACATCGGGAGCACCAGGGCAGGAATCATAGCAGTCTGGAACACCATCTCCGTCACTGTCCGTATCTGCCACATTGCAACCGCACAGACCTGCCGAGGTCTTTTGAGCATCCTGGGGGCACAAATCAATACAGTCGGACACGCCATCACCATCGCTGTCTGTGTCATCACAACCACAGGCACTGAGAGCAGTGACATTCGCATTGTTGGGACACGGATCTAAACAATCTGGCATTCCGTCACTGTCTGAGTCCGTATCAGGAAGGCCGCAGCCGCAGATCCCTATAAAGACCTTATTGGCATCATTTGGGCATTGGTCGATGCAGTCAGGCACACCATCCAGGTCCGTGTCCGTGTCCGGCAGCCTCGGCACAAGTCGAAACACAACGTACGATGTCGGACGTCTCTCGCATCCCACCCCTCAAGCTACCAATCGAGACATCACTCGATAGAGAGGAAGACAGGTGAAACGACAAACCAATGGGACCAAATGACAGATGTGCTGCTGCTACAGAGATTAAACCGACGCTGCTTTCATTAAGCTTGGCCACCCACACCCACAAGCTCCGAGGACAGTCTTCGTGGCATCGTTGGGGCACTGATCCAGGCAGTCGGCAACACCATCTGCATCCGAATCCAGCTCTGTAAGCCCTGCAAACAGCAGATCGTGTCCAAACAGTTTATGAAGTTAGTTCTCAGCAAAGTCATGGTTTTTTTAACAAGGAAGCGCTCCCACCTGTGTTGATCGTAATGGTGGCTGTCGGACTCCCATCAGCATCGACAATTTGGCAACCACACTGTCCAGGACCTGTTTTCGATGGATCCTGAGCAGTCTTGAAGCTTCTCAGGAAACACTTTTACGGATGGGCCACGTCAGAGTGTTAGAGTTGGGAAGTTGCTGAGGTTCAGCTCAGGAATGCGACTCGCTTCTTGCCAAGTTTCATAGGGGCAGAAATCTTGGAAGTCCAGCGTGCCGTCATTGTCGGAATCCAATCCGGCTATGAAGCCACACGGAATGCTCCCTGGGCCGAGGGAGTCTGTCAGCCCATGGCAGTTGTCGTTGCAGTTCGGGGTTCCATCCGAATCGTCGTCCGTCTCAGGGACGCCGCACCCACAAATGCCGGCTCTGGTCTTCAAAGGATCCAAGGGGCATTGGTCAATACAATCCTTCGTGCCATCACCATCACTGTCATCCTCAGCTTCACCACAACCACAGGTGCCAAGAAGTGACTTCAGTGGATCATTGGGGCACTGGTCGATACAGTCGGGGGCGCCGTCACCATCTGTGTCTGTGTCCAGCAGCCCACAGCCACAGGCGCTGCCTAGGCCGGTGGCCAAGCAGTTGCTCGTCGACTCGTAGTGTGTGCCGCTGATTCCCGGGAAAGCCGAGGAAAGGCTGACTGCCGGTTCTGCCAAAACCTTGACATCACAGAGGGAGAGCTCGCCAGACATGACCAGCCAGATCAGCTGACCCTGAGCCTGGCAAGATACGTCGATAACCGGAGCATCTTGGCCCAGTGCTGGAAGGGCAGGCTGCTGAGTGATGTTTGCGCACCACACGCCATCGCTGAATGTCAAGGCGCCTGAGCTGACTACGGCTGGTCCATCCACAAAGGAACACACTTTATTGAAGTTTGGCCCGGCCCTTCTGTCCAAATCTCCTCGTCCTTTCCTTTCTCACGTTTCTCTCGGCATGCAAGTAATGTCTGGAGCCTCCGTTCCCACAGACCCCCTGCATCTTTCGGATTTTGGAGGGTGTGGCCTACAAATCCCAACCTTCAAGCCTCGCAACCTGCTTTCCCAGGGCAAGGCTCTTTCGCAGGGCTGGGGCCGGGGAAGGGCAAGGCGTCTCTCCCTCTCTCTTCTTTTGTCTCTTTGTCTGTCTGGCTTCATCGCTCTCTTTATGTTGCATGCTTCGTCAATGTTCTGCTCATCGTTTCTCTTGCTTCGATCTGTCGCTGCTAGCTCTTCCCCACTGCTCTATGACAACATTAGCTTTACCTCATCGTTCTTCGGCTGCAGCTGGGTTTACGTTTCGTTCGGTCTTTCGCTCAGAGCTCGAATTTGTTGTTGGTGCGCTTCATCAGTGTTTGGTTTTGAGCTGTTTGTGCCTTAGAGGCAGACATACAGAGAAAGAGTCGACGAGAGTGAGCGTGAGTGAAGGCTTCGGCATCGGGATCGTGTCTGGTCCGACGTGCATATGCGCAGCCGCGTGTCTGGGTTGTTCAGTCTTGCAAGAACCGCGCTCTCTCGCTCTCTGATAAAGGATCTGCCAAGATGCTGATTGAGGTCACCCAAACTTGAACTCCCAAGAGACTGCCAGCACAACAGTCAGTGCGTGGTGTAATCCTCACGGCCTTCACGTCAAATCCAAATCCCAGGTCAACATACCACCATGCGTTGCTGTCTGCATTTGTGAGGGTACAGCTGCCGTGATGGAAATTCGCGCTTGTGCTCGCATCAACGGCCAGATGGGACATTTTGCTCAGCTGAGTTGAGGACTGGTGTGTTGCCATGCTCTCCATGGCCAACCACTCCGGCCCAATGCAGATGCCAGGTCTTTGCTTATTCACGTCAAGTGGGCACAAATCCTGGCAGTCCGGAAGCCCATCCATGTCCGAGTCTGTCTCGGGCACGTTGCATCCGCAGAGCCCAGCTGATTTGGACTTGCTTGGATCTTCTGGACAGTGATCAAGGCAGTCAGGCACGCCATCGAGGTCGGAGTCGACATCATCAACGCCACATCCACAAACACCAGCCGTCGTTCTGTTGGCATCGAGAGGACACTCGTCCAGACAGTCTGGGGTGCCATCGAGGTCGGAGTCGCCCGTCGCCGCGGCGCATTGGCATGTCAGTGACACCTCCATGCGCCCGGAGTTGGGTAGGCGAGGCACCGACACCTGCACTCCACAGGTGTCGAGCACAAGCAGACCGTCCGAGGGCGACAGAAGATGACCCTGAATCCCTCCGAGGCTGCAGAGCTGTCCGCTCACACAGGTCCGAGATTGCAGCTGATATGGCCCAACAATGTTGAAGTGCCCTACATCCGTCCGGAAGTCCTGCGTGGAGGTGCACTTGAACCCACCACCACACCAACAAATCCGGTACTCTCCTCCTTGGCCAATGACAAGACCAGGTGCAGTAGTTGCCCGAAGGGTCTGATCAGCCCCAGTTGCCAAGGGGTCCGAGATTGCAACTGCCAGACTGATGCTCGGAAGGAATTCGGAGGGCACCTGCTGGCCACAAGTATCAAGTATCAGCAACTGATCGGATGACTTCAAGTAGCGTCCGGTGATTCCATCAAAGGAGCATGTTTGACCACTGACGCAGGTGCGATCCTGTGCGAGCGGGCTTACGCCTACAACCGTGAAGGAACCGACGTCCACACGCATGTCTTCCGGATGAGCACATGTGGCAAGTGATGCGCACCAACACAACCTGAACTCTCCACCTGCTGTTGTCAGAAATCCTGCGTCGAGGACAAGTCTTGGGAGAACAGTGCCAGTCTCATTCCATTGCACAAAGCTGCCCGACCATCCGCGCAACTGCGAGTAGGTGAAGCCTTGACCACAAGTATCCAGAAGTTGGAGTACCCCTGAAGCGTCCTGCACGCTGATGTCTTCGATGACACAGCTCTGCCCCGAGACACAAGTTCGGTGTTGTGTCAAAGGCTCCGGACCGAGCAGCCACATAGCACCAACATCAACAGAAAAAGCGTTGGGCAAGTCGCAGTTGAAACCACGGCTGCACCAGCATAGTCTGTACAAGCCTCCAGCGATTGTCAAGAGCGTGCTCCCGTAGGTTGGGTACGACGCTGGGCTTGCCAGCGCTGTCACAAAGCCGAGGTGATGAGCCGAAGCAACGCCACATGTATCCAGTATGGCCAAACTGTCACTTTGGCGTAGGTCAAAAACAACAGACCACTCTGTGCTTGCTCCCGTGGGCCACCAACGCGAGTTGTCACCAGCGTCTCCATCCATAAGATTCTCTGGTCCGTAGGTTATTGGGTTCGCGGGGTTCGACAAGTCTTGGTGCGGAGTACCAGTTGCAGCCGATGACACTATCCAAGCTGGGGAGAAGTCCGAGGCCCACTGCGTGAAGCTCTTATGGGCTGCGCTGGGCCCTGAAGAACTCAGGAAGCGAAGCTCACGCGGCTTCGGAACGTCTGAGCTCAGTCCCCAGGTTTGAGTGATGCGCCAGCGCCAGAAGGGTGCCGAGATGGACGTCGGCCAGGCGCAGCTTTGCCAAGAGCCGTCTTGTGCTGCGGCACATGTTGCTATCGTCGTCCACGTGGCCCCAGCCACATTGGACACATCAAAATCGTAAGAAGCTTCCACAGAGTAGTCTCTCACGTCATGCAGGCCTGTGGTGGCATCTTGCAAAAATTCGAGGCCTGACACGTGGGACAGCTTATACGGATCAAGCCCTAAGCCGTGGACACTCCCAAGGTCGCACATCTGTCCACTTAGGCATGTCCTGTCTTGGCTGAGAGGCGTTGGGCCAAGCAGGGCCATCTCGCCAATCGTCACAAACTCCTCGCCTTGTCTGCACTGCCGACCAGCTGCGCACCAACAAAGTCGGTAGTACCCCGCTGCTGCTGTGATGGTGACTGCGCCAAAGCTCACTCTGGCACCACTCGCCTCAAGACTGGAGAAAACTCCAGCCTCGGGCCAGCCAGGAATCGGTGTGATGTGAGCGCAAGTATCGAGAACCATCACGGTGTCCTGTGGTGTCGCTGTCGCGCCTGCACCCAGGCTCAGATCTTCCAGGACACAGCGCTGGCCGGCCACACATGTGCGCTGCTGCAACAAGGCTGGTCCCATGAGCCTCACCTGACCAAAGTCGACGAGGCTCTGGGAGTGCAGGGTGCAGGACGTTCCTGCAAAATCATGCGGTAACGGTTGGCACCAACAGAGACGGTATGTTCCGGCTGGGGCCAGAATTGGCTCTTGGAATCTGAGCAGAAGTGTTGAAGGGCTCACTACAGAAATTCCCACGTTGGAATTTGGCCAGCCTGCAGAAAGCATAGCGGCGCCGCAGGTGTCGAGAACTTGAAGGGTATCATTCTCCGAAAGTTCTTGCCCATGGACGTGAAGCGAAGTGCAGGGCTCTCCACTTAGACATGTCCTCTCCTGGTTCAATGGTGCTGGCCCAATGACAAGTAGATTTCCGGCATCGACTTTGAAATCCGTTGCCGTGGAGCACATCGCCACGGATGAACACCAGCAGATGCGGTACTGACCGCCGGCGAAGGATGAAAAGGATGCCTTCTCCATGACCCACTTTCCAGAGGCGCTTGAGTTGGACTCCGGCAAAAACAGACCGATCGAATCTGCGTTGACTGCACAGGTCTCCAGCAGCATGAGATGGTCAGCGGACGATAGGTGCACACCTTGCAAGCCCTCAATGGCACAGGAGTGCCCGCTCACACATGTTCGGCGCTGAGCCAGTGGAGCAGGCCCGATCAATGAGAATGAGCCCATGTCGACTGAGAAACTGTCAAGCACGCCGCAGTCAGCAGCACCACACCAGCAGAGCCGGAACTGGCCGCCAGCACCTGTGAACTCTTGCATGCCCCAGTGAATGACCTCGTAATCGCTCGACTCGTTCGTACGATTGATCTCATCTCCTGGCAGGCCAGCGAAGGCCGGATGCAAGGGCAGACCCTGATCGGCGAGCTCGGGAGCTCCACAGGTGCTCAGCAGCATGATCTGCCCGTCCGCTTCGAAGTCTGGCTCCAACGAGAATGAGCATGTCAGACCACTGACACAGGTTCGATCTAAGGCAAGTGAGGGAGGGCCAAGGACCAGAAGTGTCCCGACATCAACTTGAAAGCTCTCGCCCGCAGCACAAGCAAAGCCTGCGGCGCACCAGCAGAGACGGAAGCTGCCAGCAGCAGATGAAATTATCTCGGTTCCCCAGGAGAAGAGTGCGCCAGATGCAGAAACATCGATTGCACGTCCAGAACCAAAGCCAGCAACAGGGGATGCTTCGCCGCATGTATCCAACACCCAGAGATTATCTCCCAGACTGAAGCCATGAGCAGTCTGGAAGAGGTCTTTGCCAGTGTATCGGATAACACAAGCTCGACCCGAAACACAGGTTTTCGCAACTCCAAGGAGGCTGGGTCCAAGCAGATGCAGAGTGCCGGCATCGACGAAGTGCGCTTGGGAACCCTCCGACATGCAGTCAAAGGCTGCACACCAGCAAAGGCGGTAGCCACCGCCAGCAGCCGACACGATGAGAGATGACTTCCAAGAAGCTTCTGCTATTTCTGTAGCTGCTACCAGCTGACCCGCATGAGGGAACTTCGGTACAACAGGAAGCATCTCGCCAGGATCTGAACATGTCTCTAGCACGAAAAGACTATCGTGCACCCCCAAGCCTCGGCCCAAAAGAGCTTGAATTTCGCATATCTGACCGGCCATACACGTGCGATGCTGATTTGTAGCAGGGCCTCGCACGACCAGCTCGCCAACATCGACACCTGAAGTGCAGAGGAAGTCGGCAGCGCACCAGCATAGCCTGTACTGCCCACCCGTCAACGCGAGGACTTGCGAGCTGCCGTTGCCGAATGAAACAGCAGTTCGGCTCATGTCCGTGGTGTTGACTGGCAAGAACTGCAGCTCTCCGCCCCAGACCGTGGAGCCACAGGTATCCTGCACAAGAAGCCGATCTCCATCCGACAGCCCTACACCTGAAAGCCCATCCACGACACATGTGGTTCCGTCGGAGCAGGTGCGGCTAGTGCCAAGGGGCAGCGGACCAACGAGGGTGAAAGGACCGATGTCGACAGCAAATTCTGACGGAGTCCTGCACATTTGGCCGCCGGCGCACCAGCACATTCGGAAAGTACCACCTGCAGTAGTCAGCACGAGCTCGCCCCAAGCAGCCATGGCCGTCTGGCTGCCGGAACTGGGAAGTGATGTGTTTCCGAACTGGAGCAGCGAAGGCAAAGGCAAGTTTTGCGACATGCCTGTGCTTTGAAGAGTCAGAACCACATAGTCCGAAGCTTCATCAGACACTAGTGAACAAATTGAATACAGTTGGCAGGACCCAACACCACGTGTGTCCGGAGGGATGCTGACGTTGCTTTGGGAGTCTTTGAACATCGCAGCAACACATGATGTGTTGCTGAACAAGTCGACATGTGCATTGCAAAGCGCCCGGCATTCGGAGGCGCTTGAAGTGGATGTCTCCACGATAACCATGAAATCTTGCAAAGGCACGGTGCCAACGATTGAGGCCCTTCCGCAGTGTCCCCTGGTGGTCTGTACTTTGGGAATAGAGCTGTCCACGCCACAAGTGTCCAGCAACAACAGGCTATCTTGCCCTGAACCGTGCCATACTTGTATTGGAAATTCGCACGTCTGGCCGCTCACACACGTTCGTTCCTGTTGAAGTGGGAAAGGTCCGATCACTTCCAGCTTCCCGAAGTCAACTACATATTCTGCAGCAGAAACACATGGCGGGGAGCTGCCTGCAGCCAAGGATGAGCACCAGCAGAGCCGGTACTGCCCACCGGCCACCTCCAAGATGGGCACATTAGTCGCGTTGGCCGGCACATCGTTGCGGGTAGACGTGCCACCGAGGGAGTTGAAGAACAGCCCATCCCATCCCACTGATGCAAAGAGCGGGGATGCGAAGCTGGTACCTCCGCAAGTGTTATGGATCATGACCATATCGCTGGATGCCAGAAGGAGTCCGCCGAGGCCGTGCAGACCGCATGGTTGTCCAGAAACACACGTGAAGTCCTGATGCAAAGGGGACGGGCCAATGAGGATCAGCGCACCTACATCGACCGTGAAGTGATTTGGGCGTTCGCAAGCCGGTACTGCCTGGTCTTGCCAAGGACGGGTGGTGCACCAGCACATGCGGTAGAAACCGCCGGCAGCCGTGATTGAAGAGAATACAGCAGCAGATCCACTGGAAAGAAGAGGCAGCGCGACAGAAGTTGACCAGCGAGGTACAAGACCTGTGGAGGTGCTGCAGGTGTCCAGGACCAGAATGCGGTCGGCATCATCAAGGCCGTAGCCGGCAACATCACCAAAACGACAAGGATAACCGCTGACACAAGTTCGCTCTTGGCTGCGAGGGCCAATTATGCTGAGCCCTCCGAGATCCACGTTGAATTCCTGTGAGGCCGAGCAAGATTTCACTGCACGGGAGCACCAACACAGACGATACTTTCCAGCTGGCAACGTGCCGAATTCCACCGAGACTGCCCCGAAAACAGCATCGTACGATTGGCAAGTGTCATGACAGTCCGGAGTTCCATCCCCGTCTTGGTCCAGGTCTGGTGTCCCACAGCCACAAGCACCTGGAAACACCTTGAAGGGATCACTTGGGCACAGGTCCAGGCAATTTGGAGTTCCATCACTGTCGCTGTCCTCATCCTTCACCCCACAGCCACACACACCTGCTGAAGTCTTGTTGTAATCGAGCGGGCACTCGTCCATGAAATTCGGCACACCATCATTGTCGAAGTCTTCGGCCGCGGCGGGACAGCCGGCAGCCCCGCCAGCGTTGTCAGGAAGATTGGGACACTGATCACTACAATCATGAGTCCCGTCTGCATCTGAATCCACATCCCTGGTGGCACAACCACAGACGCCCGGCAAGCTCTTCGCGGGATCATGGGGACACCTGTCGCGACAGTCGGGAATCCCATCCGCATCGCTGTCTTCGTCTCCGTGGCCACAGCCGCAATTTCCCACTGCGCTTTTCTGTGGATCTAGTGGGCACTCATCTGTGCAGTCAATGACACCGTCACCATCTGTGTCATTCATGGACTCAGCACAGCGGCACGGGTTTGCATAGCCACCATGCCCGACGACATTCTGAGATGTGTAAATCCAAGCGAGCGTGCTTCCACAACTATCTAGGACCGCATAGGCATCGCCCTCGGTGAGGAAATGTCCCACGATGTCGTCCAAAGTGCAGGGATGTCCTGCTACGCATGTCCTGTCCTGTCCGGACTTCCACCCATCTTGCGCCGATAGAACCAGGGTCTCGGCCGAGCCCCCAACAATGCTGCAATGGCTCCAAAGACTGCAGAAGCCTGACTGCCTAGCGTACTCTGCAGCAGTGCATGTGGGTCCAGTCGTATTTGAGACATGAGAAGCACAGCGCAACCAACACGCAGTGATGTCCGAGACATAGGCAAACGCGAGCATGGATGAATTTGCGCCGGGATCGCAATAAGCTGGCTTTCGTCTGAAATCCGATACCGTGCTTGAAGGCCCAACCATGTCGAGCTCGCCGATGTCCACCCTAAAATCCGATGCACTATTGCAGTCATAAGCGGAACTGCACCAGCAGAGTCGATATGTCCCGCCAGAGGCAGAATAAACCGTCACATTGGGCAAAGCTGGGCCAGTGCCATTGGCCTGCAAGCTCGGCATGGGGACTGTCCCCTGGCTGGGACCTTGCAAGCCGCATGTTTCCAAAAGCATGAGCCGGTCGTCAAGCTGCAAGTTTTGCCCAGGAAGGCCCTGAAGGGAACAGGCATTCCCAGACACACAAATGCGTAGCTTCGCAGCCCCGAGTTGGATGTCTGTGCTGGGGCCAACGAGGGTCACGGAGCCAGCGCTGACCCGGAATGATTCTGCCAGGTTGCACGGGAAGGTAGATGCAGCACACCAGCAGAGCTGGTATGTCCCGCCGGCAGAAGTTACAAACTCTAGCACGCTACCTGCAACGAAGCCTGCCACAGCTGTGGAGTTCAACAGAAGTTGAGATTGCATGGCAGGGAAGCCCAAGACCGGAGAAGGCGTTCCGCATGTGTCCAAAACCAGAAAGCGATCGTCTGCCTGGAGATGGTAACCGGGCAAAGCTTTCATGAAACATGTCTGGCCACTGATGCATGTTCTGTCCTGGGGAATTGGGCCGATCAGTAGTAGGCCACCTACATCGACCCCAAAATTCTGGGCCACGTCGCACTCGGCATATCTTGAGCACCAGCAAAGCCGATACTGTCCACCAACTGCTGTGTGCGCAGATTCCCCCCAGCTGATGAGCATGGAGGCATTCTGAAAGGATGCCTTCCCTTGCCCAGCCAATCTTGAGGGTGCCCGGACCCCGCAAGTCTCAAGAATCCAGAACGAGTCATCCGGCGACAGAAGGTGCCCTGCGATGCGCTCAACGGCACAGACCTGTCCCGTCACACAGGTCCGGTCTTGCTCGAAGAGGGGAGCTGGACCCACGTGTGAGAACACCCCGAAGTCCACCTGGAAGTCGCTGTGTAGGCTGCACGAAAATCCTGTTGCACACCAGCAAAGGCGATAGGAGCCTCCTGCAAAGGTCTGCGTGATAGCTGCACTAACAGCATCCAGATTAGTCTCCAGGCTTGCATTGAATGTGGGGGCACTCAAGGCCTCACTTGTCATCCCACACGTATCCAAGACTCGAATCAGATCCTCTTGCTGGACGCCCAGCCCCTGCACACCTTCAACTCGACAAGTTAGGCCAGCGATACAAGTCATCTGCTGAGACAAAGGGAAAGGCCCAATCAGCATCAGTTCGCCGACGTCCGTTTGAAAGTCTGGCATGAGGCTGCAGCTGCCACTTGTTGCACACCAGCAAAGTCGATAGAATCCACCTGCCGACGTCAATTGGCCGGGAAGCCAACCTATCGAGCGCCCCGCATCCAACGCTACTTGGGGAGGAAGAAACTCAGAGGTGCCTCGTGATGAGTTGCTTGCAGGTGCAAAGACCCCGCACGTCTCCAGAATCAGCATTGGGGTTGCCGAGAAGTTGGCCACATAAGGATGATGGGGAATCACGGAACTGCTGGTATCAATCAACCGGCGAATGAAGCAACTTTGACCGCTGATGCAAGTTCGGCTACTGCGTATATCTTCAACACCCAGTAGCCGCAGGGAGCCAACATCTACGACAAAGTCTGCACGACAACCACAGTTCGCTGTGGAGTAGCACCAGCAGAGGCGATAGCTTCCTCCTGCAGCAGAGACGGGCACCTGTCCGAAGCTGGCTCGGACTCCTTGGAAAGCGAAATCCTCGCTCTTCGGACAAAGGTCGATACAATCTGGCACGGAGTCGCCATCCTCATCGGCCTCAGAGTTGCCGCATCCGCAGATGCCAGGGAAGGCCTTGCCGGGATCGTTGGGACACAAATCCAGGCAATCCGCTACGCCATCGAGGTCGCTGTCTACGTCTGACACATGGCATCCACAGATTCCTGCCAGGGTTTTGCTGGCGTCCATTGGGCACTGGTCCAAACAGTCAAGTACTCCATCCGCGTCCGAGTCGGCTGCAGTACAACAAGTGCCACCAACAAAGTCTGGCCCAGCACACTGGTCGTTGCAGTCTGGCACCCCGTCGCCATCGCTGTCCGAATCAAGAACGCCGCAGCCACAGATACCTGTCCCGGTCTTACCCGGGTTGTGCGGGCACTGGTCAAGGCAGTCCGGCGTTCCATCACCATCAGAGTCAATGTCGGGCGTGCCACAGCCACACCAGCCAGGATGTGTCTTCAAATCCATGGGGCAAAAATCGCCACAGGTCGCACAAAGAGACTCGTTGGTGCCGGGTGGATAGGCACTGCAAAGTGAGGACGTGCATCCACATTGTCCAGAGACGTGGAGCACGCTGCCCTCGTGTGGAAATCGGCTTGCAACATCTTGCACCCCGCAGGTATGCAAGACCAGGAAATGATCATAGATGGACAAGTGGTTGCCGCCGATGTCATCCAAAAGGCACGTCATGCCGCTGATGCAAGTCCAAGCTTGACTGAGGGTTGGCCCGACCAGGGTCAAAGTGCCGGTGTCTACTTTGAAATCCGAGCCATCTTCACAGGAGGATGCATTGGTTTCCAAAAGACCGCACCAGCAAATCCTGTAGAGGCCTCCTGCTGCCATCAACCTGGCCGTGGCCTGCCCCTGCGAGGCAAGGCTCAACTCGATGCCGGGGCCCAGGCCCACCCCGCTCGGAAGGCCGGCTGCCCCACATGTATCTAGAATCAGCAGTCGCCCGTTCGTCGCCGTGTGCTGAAAGTGGCTGAAATCGCAGGTCACACCAGCAATGCAAGTGAAGTCTTGCTGCAAAGGCATCGGCCCGAGTACGCTCAACTGGCCAATTCGCGTGCCAAAATGCTGAAGGTTCTGGCAAGTCTGATTTGCAGCGTCACTCTCGGCTGCACACCAGCACAAGCTGTAGCGTCCAGCAGGCGCCAGGAGTGGTGCGGCTGCGAGGCTTTGCACTGTGGCTGACACTGGCCAGCTCCTGACCGGCAGACCTGATGTTGTCAAGCCAGTCGCTGAGCAAGTATCCAGCACCATGAGCTGAGCAGCTAGATTCTCTATTCCAAGGCCTTCAAACCTTTCCACGATGCATCGGTGTCCACTAATGCAAGTCCTGTGCTGCTCCAGCGGTACAGGGCCTCGAAGGTACAGCTGTCCGAAATCCACCCGGAAGTCTTCCTCAAAGTCACACGTCAGGGTGTTTGAGCACCAGCATAGCCGGAAGAGCCCTGCCCGCAAGGGAGCAAACCTAAGCTGACTGCCACGTGAAGTGCTCGAAGCGTTCCCTGTGAAGGGCATGGCACTTGGCACCGCTAAGCCGCAAGTCTCCAAGATCAGAATTTGGGAATCCAAGTCACCAAATTGCGACATGGTGATCGGGCATGCAACTCCAAAAACACATGTCTGGTCTTGCTGAAGAGGCGCTGGACCCAGCAAGTCCAGTGCCCCGACCTCGACACGGAAATGTTCAGGCACGTCGCAGGAACCCGGCGTTGCTTCCGGTGAGCACCAGCAAAGACGGTATGTACCGCCACTCAACGTGCTGATGCCCGTGCTGGACACCCGTCGAGAAACTGCAATGGTCAGGTTGGACGCTGCTTCTTCCGACAAGAAATGCTGGGTGGAAGCAGACATTCCGCATGTGTCTGATAGAAGGAGGCCGCCGCCGCCGGCAAAGCTGCTTTGCCACTCTGCAACCTGGAGGCTCTTCACCACACAAGCCTGGCCACTGACACAAGTGCTGGCCACGGAGCTGATTGGTGCGAGGACATTCAAGGCCCCGAAGTCGAGGCCAGGCAAACTGCTGTCGGCACAGCTTCCCTGGCTTCCCTGGCTCGTCAGGCTGCCGGAGCACCAGCACAGTCTGTACTGGCCTGCTGGCACATTGAGGAACAGCGCCCGCCACGACGTGTTGGTGTCGCTGGTCAAAGTGGCCCACACCACCCCACCACCTGAATGCTGCACCAAGTCCCAGGACTCTAAGCCTGTTGGAGGTGACAGCATCTCTCCACCACAGCTTTCCAAGATCATCACCCTATCGCTTGCAGACATGAGCCAGCCCGTAATGCCATCCAACAAGCAGGTCTGTCCACTGATGCACGTGCGGTCTTGTGCGTGAGGACTCGGTCCAAGAACGTGGAGGGTACCCAGATCAAAACGGAAGTCCTCTGACCTGCTGCAGATGGCGTTTGCTGCGCACCAGCAAAGTCTATATTCACCACCCAAGACCTGCAAAGGGAACGACCATGTGACTGACGCAGCTGCCAGGTTGCTTGAGCTGACGCTCAACGTCATGCGCGTTTCGTTCGAGCCGGGATTGAAGCTGCCAGGTGTGCTTGAGGTTGCGCATGTGTCCAGCACCAACATGCTGTCAAACAGTGACAGTCCAAGTCCATGAATGCCCAGAATCTTGCAGGACTGGCCGGCAACACAGGTTCGTGAAATGTCCGTGTCAGACGGGCCAAGCAGGGTAAAGCTTCCAAAGTCCACACGGTAGTTTTCTGGGTAGGCACAAACACCATCATCTGAGACGTTGGACTGGTTGTGGATCAAAAAGGATGTGTTGTGCCACGACGTGCTGTCAGACTCGTTGAGCCTGGTTGAAGAATCGCCACACCAGCAGAGTCTGTATTCGCCACCCATAGCAGAGACGGTGGCATCATCCCAGAATAGCGATGCACTGCGATCAAAGCCTGCAAAAAGTGCAGAGCCTCCGCCACCCCATCGCTGCACAGTCGACGCTGTACCACAGGTGTTGAGGATCGCGACCCTGTCCGAGGATTTTGTCCAGTCGACACCCGTCAAGCCATTTATGCTGCAGCTCTGCCCCGAGATGCATGTAACTTCTTGGTTGAGTGGGGCCGGGCCACGCAAAAACAGCGTGCCAAAATCGACTGCATGGTCTAACGAGATTGCCGTCGCGGAAGCATTCACATGCGACATCCCAGCACTCCAGCAGAGCCTGTACGTACCACCGGCCGAACTGACTGGCACGGTCCATGCAGCTTGAGATCCACGAGTCCAGAACATGTCTGCTTGGCCAGACAGCGGAAATCGGGGTACAACTGCTGGATGTCCACAAGTTTGCAAGGCAATGATATTGTCAGAATCCGAGAGGCCAACCCCAGCGATATTCCCGATCTGGCATGTTTGACCTGAAACGCAAGTCCAATGCTGTACTAAAGGCGACGGACCGAGCACAGTCAGAAGCCCCACATCCGTTAAGAAAGCATCACGAGTGGCAGGATTGCACCCAAACGTGCTCTCCAGTGTGGTGTTGGTGTACACGAAGCTGTCATTGCCTGGTGTTGTGACCGAACACCAACACAAACGATACTGGCCACCCATCGATTCGAGGGGCCGGTAGGCAACTCTGACGAAGGCTCCACTTGCCTGCACAGGGGCGGCTGCTGCTGTGCCTTCCACCCACTCCTGGCCACAGGTCTCCATAACGAAAAGACGGTCTGATTCCAGCCCCTTGCCGTCAAAGCCTCCTAAGACGCATTCCATGCCACTAATACAGGTCTGTCCGTGATCGAGCGGCACTGGTCCGAGCACATGAAGTTCTCCAACATCAAGGTGGAAGCAGTCCAGCACCACTGACTGATTTCCCGTATGGTTGGAGGCCAGGGAATATGTCACGTTGCCGATGTCCTGCAAGCCAACCATCGGGCACCAGCACAGGCGGAAAAGGCCAGATGCCACCAGCAACCCAAAATCTGCCACTGAGCCACTCGAACCAAGTGTACTGGAAGCCGCAAGCCGTGGCTTTCTGGCACCACCTGCCAAAACCCCCACTTCGGCGCATGTGTCCAGAACAGCAAGCATGCTGTCCTGCGAGACAAAGCTCCCAGTCAAGCCCTCCAATCGACAGCCGCGGCCGCTGACACACGTCCTAGACTGCCCGGTGTGTGGACCGATCAGCGTCAGCTCGCCGATCGGAATGCGAAAGTGCTCTGCTGTATCACAGTTCTGGTAGGCGGCGCACCAGCAAATCTTGTACAAGCCCCCTGAAGCCGAGATCGGTGCGCTGTTCCAGACTACGGTTGCCCCGCTGCCTGACACACCTTTGACCATGCCTGCCTCTGGCAACTTAGCTGTTACTCCAGCACTCCCACAAGTGTCCAGAATGAGTGCTCTGTCGCCAGAGCGGAAATCGAAGGTCACCCACCACATGTTGTGCCAACGAGGGAAGCCGACACTTTCCCACCTGGACGTGAGCAGGTCACTGTTCTGGTCGATGAGCTTGTCAGGGCCGAGTGTTTGTGGGTTGGAGCCAGATGTTTTCCATGAGATGCCGGATGCAGAGAACACCCAATCCGACGGAATGCGCTCCACCCAGACCATCTGGCTCAGCCACTGCACTTCTCGAGGCTTCGGCTGCCAACCGGAGGCAGTTTCAAGCACCAAAAGCCTAAAGAAGGGAGCCGTCGTTTCATTGAAGAAGACTTCCTGCCAGTCTGACGTCCCAGTCTCCAGATCGAACAAACTCAAATCCACAAAGGGCCCTACAGATGTGGCAAAGCTCACTTGAACTTTGGCCCGCGTAATATCAAACAGAACAGATCCATCCTGCTTTAGACGAAGCCCGGATACGTCCGGCAAGCGGTCTTGGTTGAGATGAAGACCTGCACAAGCTTCGCACGACATGTCTGCACATCCAAGTCCACAGCCAAACAGAGGAGAACGACAGCAAGAAACAACAACATGTCGATAGAGATGCAGATGCAAACATCTGCTACATGCCTGAGAAGCTCCAACGTGGACAAGTACACATGTGCATATGTATATATACACATACACACACACACACACCAATACGGACGAATCACGCCAATACGGACGAATACGTGCATCTCCTTATGCTCGAACAACTACGATACTATTGATGTATCTACCCTAGATCCTCTATCCATCTATGGTAAGCCCCAAAAAGTTGGAAACCTGATTGAGGACAATTAGTGCTGGGATGGCTTATACATGACTCTTAGGGATTGAGGCTGCTGGGTTTCCAATTTTTGGGCTTCTACCATCTATCCATGCGGCCATCCATCCTTCTATCCATCCATCCACCCATCCATCTACACCAATACGGACGAATACATGCACCTCCTGATGCCCGAATAACTATGATACTATAGAGGTATCTACCCTAGATCCTCCATCCATCTATCCATGCGGCTATCAATCCTTCTATCCGTCCATCCATCCATCTACACCAATACGGACGAATACATGCATCATCCACCTACCCACCCAGCCAGCCGGCCGGCCAGCCAGCCATCCGTCCCGCAGCCATCCATCCATCCACCCATCCACCAATACCATCTGTCTATGCTACAAGTATCTGAGCCAGATCTATCCATTCGATCTGATCTATCTGCTCTTTCGGGAGGGTGCCAATCAACATGCTGAGGCGCCGCGCTCTTCCTATTGTATCATCTTTCCACTATGATCTAATCGAATCCAGTCTAGTCTCGTCTGATCTAGGCAATACCTGCCAAAATACGCAAATGCTTTCGAGAGAACGCACACATGTATGTGCAAGTACTCGCACCCGCAAAACACAAATGAAAGAAAAAGACAGAGAGAGAGAGAGAAAGAAAGAAAGAAAGAAAGAAAGAAAGAAAGAAAGAAAGAAGGAAAGAAAGAAAGAAAGGAAGGAAGGAAGGAAGAAAGGAAGGAGAAAGAAAGAACGAACGAGAGAAAGAAAGAAATAACGAACGAAAGAAAGCACGAACGAACGAAAGAAAGAAGGAAAGAAAGCAGGAAAGAAGGAAAGAAAGACGAGAAAGAAACAAAGAAAGAAAGGAAGGAAAGAAGGAGAGAAGGAACGGAAAGAAAGAAAGGAAAGAAAGGAAGGAAAGGAAAGAAAGAAAGGAAAGAAAGAAAGGAAAGAAATAAAGAAAGACATAACGAAAGAAAGAAGGAAAGAAAGAAAGAAAGAGCCTATGCGCCGCGCCCGCGCGTGTGTGTGTGTGTGTGTGCGCATGCAGATACACACGCATGCATGCTACATACGTACTTACGTACTTACTTGCCTCCTTACTTACTTACTTACTTACCTACCTACCTACCTACCTACCTACCTACCTACCTACCTACCGACTTTCTGGCTTGCTTACTTACTTACTTACATATTTACTTACTTCCTTACGTACTTACCTACCTAGTTGCTTACTTGCTTACTTACTGGCTTACTTACTTACTTACTTACTTACTTACTTACTTACTTACTTACTTACGTACTTACTTACTTACTTACTTACTTACTTACTTACTTACGTACTTACTTACTTACATTGAAGTACATTCCTATACATGCATGTACATCTACGCCTTAGAAACGTGTAGCGGCCTTAATCGTACAGTTCACATGGGGAAGAAAGTATTCGCCAGAATGGACGGAAGCTGATGCTTTGACACGACGAAGTCGTTAAAGCAGCAAGCAGGTGCGAGAAGTGATGATTGGGTGGGATCCAAAAAGCAAGAGTTTATCGGCAACGCAGCAATTTCAGAAATCCAGAATTCCTGAGTTCTGGACCATAGCTTCCTGCGTGATTTTAACGATCCGTACGCTTTCTACAGGACCCGAGGGCCTGGCAGATGATCGACAGCCCTCCCC